AAAAGGTTTAAATGCCCATCAAAACCATTTTCCAAGCCAAATATATGATTTTGAAAATCCCAACTAACTAAATTATAATATCCACTTCCATCTTTTCATTTATTTAATTTTGAAATTTAACTTAAATTACGCTTGATAATGAATCTCATTAACAAACATAGATTTACTTTGAATTAATAATATGAAAATTTTAAATAATTATTGATTTCATAGTATTTTATTGTTTATGTTTATTTATTTATTGCATCCGATTCAATCTCGGTATGATCCCGGTTGAATTTTTTGACCGTTCACCTTTTCTGAGTCGATGCTCAGGTCGATTTTCAAAACATTGTTAAAAATGTAAAATAAGTTCAAATCTCTTCAACGTATTATACTGTATACATTACAATTTAATATTGTATACCAAATGTACACATTGAGTAATTCTAAAAGCATCACACATGGATTTAACTAATTATTAGTTATTACTACTACTTTCACTCGACTATATTGGTCTACTCCTGGAAAAACTATTATCTCTAAATATTATTTAGTCTTTTTATTAAATTTTTAAATATTTTCTTAGAATTGTTGTAGGCATGAGTTGTTAAGGGCGTTGTCATGTTAGCTAGATTGGGGAATTTGTTCACATTCTGTATAATAGCGATAGGAAAAATTTTGTATTTCAAAAATAAGAAACATGGTTGAAAATTTATGTTGACCTCAAAAATGGGTCAATACGTGTCGTTCAAAACAATGTACACGTGGATGTTTTCTTCGGTGTATTGATTACAACTTAAACACACACTTAATTGTTGATCAAACATCCTCAAGTAAATAAGCCCAATACACACTTGTGGAAGAAGAAGATGTAAAGTAGTGAATGATTTTTCTTACGTGGAGAAATATGCAATGCTCTCTTTTTTATATATTCAAAGATTCATCCCTCAAAAAGTTACAAGAACAACTATTTATAGTGACCAAGCCAACGTGATCACCGTTGGATCCGATCCATGTAGCCTAATCCGCTAGACCTTGGTGTCACATCAACCCTACCTCACATTAATTACATTGACAGACATTTGATAAGGAGTCAGCCACCCCATATCTCTAGGCTAACATTCATGACATCTATTTAATAAGAACATCACATCAATCAATTCCTAATATACGCTTATCAAACCCTCCTCTTGGCGTCAAGGACCTTGGACACTAAAGGTTTCGACAAAAAGAAATAGCCCACTTTGGATAATCAAAGACTAGAACCACTTAGGAGAACACCAATAAAATGACCTCGACGTTCAATATAACAACTTCAGCCATTATATCTTCCATAACTCCTCCTTTACCCCTCGATCCAATGCCACGTATATGAATATGAGGATTCCACATGGACGTCATTGAGAGCACTACTTATGATCAGTAACAATTTCAAAAATCAGATACTAATTAATTTTATTTATAAAATAATTAATTAAGACTATATTTTATCAATTAAATATATTAGGTAACAATTCTATATCACTGTACACTGTTGAAGCCACCACCACGCCGCCAACACCACTGCATATAGCACACAGCACTACACCCAACCATTGCACCACATGCACCACTATACCTAGCACCCACTACACGTCACTATGCACCTAACCCAACCCAACCCACACAACACCACTTCACACCACCACCGCATTGCACACCTCTACCATCATCGCGATCGCAAAAGTAACACACCATTACCATTAGCACATAACACACCCCTACCGCATCACAGTACTACCATCGAACCATCAATCACCACAACACTCAAAAATTAAACAAATGAGAAAAAATAATGGATTTGCACCGTGCGTGGCGGTGATACGTTGCAGCGCACTAAGGAAAGCTGTGATGAGTTGCTGAAGCGAGTGCCATGAGAAGCGTCGAAGTGGGTTCATTATGAGGAAGGGCCAGAGTGGGTTCGCCGTGAGGTGCTAGAGTGCATGGAATGAAGTAGCGGGGAGATGGATACTTTTCAAAATGAATTAAGGTTTGTAGGGTGGATAAAGTGGAGGTAGTACATTAGTTTAATTTAATAATAATATTATTAATATTAAAAATTGAATTATCATCTAATTTTTGAACAAAAAAATTTTAAATCTAATTTTTGAAATTGTACCTTCAAAAATCTGGTTCTTTATAATTTGAGGATAGGCTTCTGCACAATAATGGGCTGACCATAAGTGAAGACAAGTTTGGACTTTTAAATGTGTAATTTTGTTTATCGGGTCAAAATAAGTCTTTAACAAAATAGTTTTCGACTTAAAATATTATTTTGTTATAAATGAAATGGAAAAAAGTTCAAATCAATTGAAAATACATGACAAAATGTTTTTATAAAACATGAAAAAGTTGACTTTGAAGCTATTGAAACTTTAATGGTACATGGTGATCTCCAAATTTAGATGAGACCCGACTTGCCAACAAATCCCATCTGTATTTTGCTTCCTGTATAAATTACCTAAATGCTAGGAAAGCTAGCTGTTGTAAAATTTTGTTTCGCAAGTGTACGACTCGTAACAAATAATAGTGGACCTAAGAGTTTGGTTATCGATCCCACAAGGACTATTTTCTAGCACTTAATTCAATCTTTTTTTAACTACTATTTGACGAATACAAATCAAAGGTTATAAAATCTGGGTTTTAATCTAAATTCTAGAAAATAAATGAATATTCACACGATTTGTTGGAGAATCAAATAATGAATGGATGTTAGGGTAGAATAACTTCACCAATTGATCACTTTTACATCTCAAATTAAAACTCAATTCTAATGTACCGCTCGGTCGAATTCTCCTATTGTATTCAATTTACCCTTCTCGAGTTGTCATTGAGCTTATTCAAGTAATTAAATTTTATATCTCTATGCAAATTCAACTTAGTTAAACGAGTTCTATATTTTAGGAATTCAATTATGACCGCAATAAATGGTATATGTATCTCTACTCGTTATATCAATGTATTGGATTTTACGACATGATCTAAATCCTAAACTCATATCTCTATTTGTAAAGAATTTACAAAAATCATCAAATTATTGATCGGATAACTTAATGCATTCAACTCACAGCAAAATCAACACATGGAAGAATTAAAAACTGAAAATCTTAATAAGAAAATGTAAAAGATCCCAATTGGTTACATTATTCCCCCTAACATCCATTCATTATTTGATTCTCCAACCAATCGTGTGAACATTAATTTATTTTCTAGAATTTAGCTTAAAACCCAGATTTTATGACCTTTGATTTGTATTCGTCAAATAGTAGTTAAAGAAAAATTGAATTAAGTGCTAGAAAATAGTCCTTGTGGGATCGCTGACCGGACTCTTAAGTCCACTATTACTTGTTACGGGTCGTACACTTGCGAAACAAAATTTTACAACAACTTTTTGGCTCCGTTGTCAGGGACTATTTTCTTTTAGTCTTAATTTATTTTTTTATTTTGATTGTTATTTGATTTGTTTATTTTTCTTTTATTTAAAGAAAATTGTGTTCGTTGTATGCTCCGTGCCCAAGGCGACAATCTTGAGCCGTTTGATTCGGAGATAGAACGTACATTCAGACGAAGACGCAAGGAACACAAACAAAAATAGCAACATCAAATGGCTAATAATCAACAAATCCATATCCCTATTCAGCCGATTGGACAAATGGCCGCAAGAGTGGCACCACCGGAACAGCAGCATGAGCGAGGGGAAATAAATGAAGGTGATTTGCCAGTATCAATGTTCCTGACACCTATAGCAGCACCCATGCGCTCTAGTATTGTGTATCCAGATTTTGGGGTGAATAACTTTCAAATCAGGCCAGATTGGATTAACTTGATGAGCAACACCCTACAATTCTACGGGCTACCTCAAGAGAATCCAAACACGCATATCTCTAGATTTCTCAGAAACTGTTAGAACTTTCATGTTCCGGGAGTCAATGAAGATGCTATTAAACTACGACTATTCCCATTTACATTGAGAGATACTGCATTGGAGTGGTTAGATGCTGAGCCTCACGCTAGCATTATTACATGGGAAGAACTAATCAGGAAGTTCTGTCATAAATTTTTCCCACCGACGAGGGTAGCTAAAATCATATTAGAAATTCAAACTTTTCAACAGAAAGAGGGAGAACGCTATCACGAAGCATGGAATAGGTTTAGTGAGTTGATGAGAAAATGCCCAAACCATGGAATTACTATAGGTAATCAAGTGCAGTACTTCTACATTGGACTCATACCACTGTCAAAATCCCAAGTCGATGCCTTAGCTGGAGGACAATTATAGGAAAATTTGTGCAGCAAACTATGGAACTGTTTGAGTTGATTGCCACTACACATTCAATGTTCTCATTGGAAAGAGTGGCGCCACCGAAGACATGAGGAATGTATGAGTTAGACAGCACAGCAGTTACCAACGCCCAAATAGTAGCATTAACAAAACAAGTGGAGTAATCGGTGAAATCACAAATGAAAGGAGCACATGCAGCGACAGCTAGTCCATCATGCGAGAACTGTGGGGCTAATCATCTGACAGAAAACTGCACATCTATAGGCTATCCCGACGATCAAGTAAATTTCATTCAAAATGGGTCTCGAAATTTTAATCCATTTGCTCAAATGTACAACCCAGGATGGAGACAACACCCAAACTTCAGATAGTCGGATAATCAACAAGGGAACAGTTCAAATAATGCCCAACAGGAGAAAAAACCAAGTTTGGGGGAGATGTTCAACCAGTACATGCAGAAGGCTGACAAGGTGTTTTAGTAGATTGACACTAACTTTCAGAATTAACAAGCATCAATCAAGAAGTTGGAAACACAAATTGATCAGATAGCTCAACAGCTTGCAGAACGCCCACAAGGGACATTGCCAGGTAACACAATGGTCAATCCAAAAGAGCAAGTGCAAGCTATTACTACTAGGAGTGGGTGCAACTTTCAGAAATACACGTGAAGAGACCTAAGCGAAAAGAAAAGGAAATAATGGGTGAAGAGGCTAGGAAAGAAGAAGAGTTTGAACAACCAACTGACAAGGAAAACGAAAGGAAAGAAACACCTGTAGTGAGAGCACCCAGCCCCGTGAAAGCTTATGTGCCACCAATTCCCTTCCCTCAAAGGTTACAAAGAAAGAAGTTGGATAATCAGTTTGCCAAGTTTGTGAAGATTTTCAAGAAACTGCACATCAATATTCCTTTTGCAGACGCAATTGCCCAAATGTCCAGCTATGCAAAATTCTTGAACGAGATCCTATCTAACAAAAGGAAGCTGGAAGAACATGAGACAGTATGCTTGAACGAGGATTGCACAATACTATTGAGAAAGCTACCTCCTAAACTAAAAGACCCAGGGAGTTTCACCATACCTTGCACAATTGGTTCTAATTTCTTTGAACATTCTTTATGTGATTTAGGTGCCAGTGTTAATTTGACGCCTCTCTCCATTTACAGGTCTCTTAGATTAGGAGAAACAAAACCTACAATAATCTCTTTGCAACTAGCCGACAGATCGATCAAACGACCAAAGGGAATTATTGAAGATGTGCTGGTTAAAGTTGACAAATTTATTTTTCCGGCTGATTTCATTATTTTGGACATGGAAGAGGACTCAAATATTCCTCTGATCTTGGGAAGACCATTCTTGGCTACTGGGAGAGCATTGATTGATGTGTATGATGGAAAAATGATTCTTCGAGTGGACAATGAGCAAGTCATATTCAACGTGTTCAAGGCAATGAAACACCCATTGACTTCCGACACTTGCTGCCAAGTTGATGTTCTTGAAGAGCTTGTGGCGAATACATTTGATAGAGCATCACACAAATCTTTGTGAGACAGAATTTGCACAATTGGAAGCAACAAGTGCAGGAAAAGCTGAATGTATTGTCAACTTAGCCGAGCAACCCATAGGAAGATGGCATTGGCAGTATGAATCTCTAGGAGACAACCCTCCTCCCCCGATACCCTCAATGGAAAAGGCACCCACTCTTGAACTTAAGCCCTTACCTTTCCATCTTCGTTATGCATCTTTGGGAGAATCGTCAACACTGCCAGTAATCATTGCAAATGATATGACAAGGAAGAGGAGAATAAATTGTTGAAGGTACTCAGGCAACACAAAATGGCAATTGGATGGACAATAGCTGACATAAGAGGGATCGGTCCAACTCTTTGCATGCACAAGATTCTAATGGAGGATGGGTCAAGGGCATCAGTGGAAGGACAACGCCGATTGAATCCAACCTTGAAAGAAGTCGTGCGAAAAGAAGTGCTGAAATTATTGGATGCAGGAATAATTTATCCCATATCTGATAGTTCGTGGGTGAGTCCTGTACATGTTGTACCTAAAAAGGGTGGAATCACAGTGGAGAAGAACGAGAACAATTAGCTGATACCAACACGGTTAGTAACAGGGTGGAGAGTATGCATAGATTATAGAAAGCTAAATAATGCAACCAAAAAAGACCATTTTTCATTGTCATTCATTGATCAGATGTTGGAAAGGTTGGTAGGACATTCTCATTATTGCTTTCTGGACGGATATTCAGGGTACAATCAGATAGTAATTGCTCCAGAAGACCAAGAGAAGACAACCTTCACATGCCCTTATGGAACGTTTGCATTTAGAAGAATGCATTTTGGTTTATGCAATACACCGGTAACCTTTCAACGATGTATGATGGCTATCTTTTCTGACATGGTAGAAAAGTACATTAAGGTTTTTATGGATGATTTTTCTATGTTTGGAGATTCCTTTGACGATTGCTTGGAGCGATTGGCTCTTGTATTGCAAAGATGTAAGGAGAAGAACCTTGTGCTTAATTGGGAAAAATGTCATTTCATGGTAAAAGAAGAAATAGTACTGGGACATAGAATTTTTGCACAGGGGATTGAAGTGGACAAAGCCAAAATACAGGTGATTGAGAAATTGCAGCCACCTAATTCAGTAAAGGCGATCAGGAGTTTTCTGGGACATGCAGGGTTTTATAGAAGATTCATTCAAGACTTTGAAAAAATTACAAAATCGTTGTGCAATCTGTTGGAGAAAGATATACCCTTTTAATTTTCTGATGAGTGTTTGAAAACCTTCAACACTTTGAAAGAAAAATTGATATCGACACCTGTGATAGTGGCTCCAGATTGGAAATTGCCTTTTGAGCTCATGTGTGACGCCAATGAAATTACAATGGGGGCAGTGCTTGGACAACGCAACGGAAAAATATTTCATGTTGTCTACTATGCTAGCAAAACATTGAATGATGCTCAGATCAACTATGCAACAACTGAAAAGGAATTGCTTGCAGTTGTTTTTACTTTTGACAAATTCTGTTCTTATTTGATTGGGTCCAAGGTGATAGTTTATACAGACCATGTAGCTCTGAAGTATTTGTTTGAGAAGAAGGATGCGAAACCAAGGCTAATTTGCTAGGTGCTGTTACTACAAGAATTTGACATCGAGATTCGTGATAAAAAAGGAACAGAAAATCAGGTAGTGGATCACTTGTCAAGGATAGAGCAATAGCAGGATTCAGATAATATGAATATCAATGAGGTCTTCACAGATAAACAGTTACTACAGGTAGAAAAAGCTTTGTGATATGCAGACATTGTTAATTACTTAGCCAGTGGTTATATGGATCCGGATCTCACCTATCAACAAAAGAAGAAGCTCAGTCATGAAGTGAAATTCTACTACTGGGATGATTCAAATTTATATAGGAGAGGGACGGACCAGATCATTAGGAGATGTGTGCCTGAGGATAAAATGAAACCGATCATTTCATGAGTACATGCTTCGGCTTATGAAGGGCACTTTGGCCCCACTAAAATAGCAACAAAGGTGCTCTAATGTGGTTTCTTTTGGCCTACATTGTTCAAGGACTGCCACAATTTTTGTAGGTCATGTGATAAGTGTCAAAGAACAGGTAACATATCAGCGCGTCACGAGATGCCACTTAACAACATTTTGGAAGTGAAAATATTTGATGTCTGGGGGGTTGATTTTATGGGTCCGTTTCCGTCATCTTACAACAATCGGTACATCCTAGTTGCGGTGGACTATGTTTCAAAATAGGTAGAATCTAAAGCATTGCCTACAAATGACGTAAGGGTGGTGGTGGACTTCATAAAGAAACACATATTTAACCACTATGGATCACCTAGGGCCATTATAAGTGATGGTGGAACGCACTTCCGCAATCGGTTGTTCCAGGCAGTTTTGCATAAGTACGGAGTACAACATCGAATTGCCACTCCTTATCACCCTCAAACAAGTGGACAGGTGGAAACATCAAACAGGCAATTGAAAAGAATTTTGGAGGTCACTGTGAATGCATCTCGCAAGGATTGGTCAAAAAAATTGGACGATGCTTTATGGGCATATCATACAGCTTACAAGACACCTATAGGAATGTCTCCATACCGACTAGTCTTTGGAAAAGCATGTCACCTACCAGTGAAATTTGAGCACAGAGCGTATTGGGCATTGAAGCAGTTAAACATGGACCTCGAAAAGGCTGGAGAAACAAGAGTACTACAGCTACATGAGTTGGAGGAATTCAGAAGAGAGGCATATGAGAATACATCCATTTATAAGGAAAGGACAAAGCAGTGGCACGACAAGAACATCAAGCAACAAATTTTTCGAGTGGGGGATCAAGTGCTATTATACAATTCCCGGTTTGAGCTTTTTCCAGGAAAATTGAAGTCTCGATGGTCCGGTCCTTTTACGGTTTCTCAGGTGTTTCCCTACGGGACAGTTGAATTACACCATCCAACTAAAGGAAATTTCATAGTAAATGGTCAACGCATCAAGCATTATGTGGAAGATTTCCCCACCGCTAAAGAGAGTCTTGATCTAGCTGTCCCCTAATAACTGCGGCACTACGTCCAGCTAATGACTTAAAAAAAGCGCTTCTTGGGAGGCAACCCAAGCTCTACCATTTCTTTGATTATTGGTTTATGCTTTGATTTTGTTTTCTTCCTTTAATAATCTATGCTATTGTAGTAACACTTTCTTTTGTTTGTTTTTGTAGGAGAATCCATAAAGGTTACATATTCCGGAATTTGAGTTCTACAATGAAAATGAATGAGTGTGAAAAGGGTGAGGTAAAAAAAAAAAATTACAAAAAGAGGCAGAAACTCAGCGCCTAGGCGCTGCAAAACTGCCTGTTTCGGCAGAAACGCAGCACCTGGCCCAAGCGCTGCGTCTGCGGGGTTAGGCAGAAATACGACGCCCAGGCGCTGCGAACTTAACCCTGCCCCCCCAATTTTTTTTTTTTTTTTCACTTTATTTCTAGCGCTGCGAACTTAACCCTTCCCCCCCAATTTTTATTTTTATTTTTTTTCACTTTATTTCTATTTCGTATAACCTCAACCCCCCTCCCTCCTCACATACGAGATTCCCCAACCCCTTAAGTTTACCATAGTGCCCAAGCGCCACAACCATAGTGCCTAGGCGCTGAAGACATAGCGCCCAGGCGCTATAGCCAGCGCTTAAGCGATGTCCTGTAGCGTCTAGGCGTTGCGATTGACAATCTAGGGCGCATTTTTTTGGGTCATTTTTAAATCCATAAAAATCCTACTTCTACATAAAACGGAGGGGCACCTATAAATATATATTTTCTCATACTTTTGAGGGGTTCTTGACATATTAGAGAGAAAACAACAAGAAGAGAGATTCAAAGGAGAAATTCAAGAAGATTAACACCAAAAATTGAAGATTGGAAGCATTCACTGGAAGAGGAAGGAAATCCCTAGATTGTCAATCGCAGCGCCTAGGCGCTACAGGACAGCGCTCCTGGGCGCTACAGGACAGCGCCTGGGCGCTATGTCTTCAGCGTCTAGGCGCTGATGGTAGTGCCTAGGCACTATGAGTGTGGCGCCTGGGCGCTATGGTTTTGGCGCCTAGGCGCTACCTCTCAGGTCCAAATTTCATCTTCTTTTAGTTTCGTAACGCCTAGGCGCTATGAGTGCAGCGCCTAAAAGCCGTCTTTCTGCCCCAATTCCGTGTTATTGGCCTCTTCGTCCACTTTAATACTTCTTTTAACATCGCTTTTCCTAATTTTCAAAACAACACTAACAAACACGTCAAAAACGTTCTATACTCATAAAATCTAGCATTTAATCAAGCTAAAATTGTACTAAAATCATGAGTGAAACAAACTCATCACTAGCATTAAAGGGAGAAGATTGAAGCCCCTCCAAAATAAAGGCAAGAGAGTTCGTGATCATACGGGCTCTGAAGTTCAAGTCAATGAAATGTACATAAAATATATTTTGGGTGGCAAAGCGATACGAACATAGAAGAAAAGTTGGATTTGGGGTTCATTATTCTAGAGTAGATGTGGGTATTCATGGACAAAGGAATGAATCGAAAGTCTCTTGGATGCTTGACATGTGACATTAACTCAATATTTCACAAGTCAAGTATCAAAACATTCCATCTTAGTTGTCGTAAGACATCAGGCATCAAGCCCTAACTGCCTTGGAGTCTAGAGACCAATCCAATGTGGCAAGGGATTGGGTCTTACCGATCACCTTGGATAGGAGAAGTGGTAGGTTTACTTGGAGCTAATCCTCGTAGGTTGTTCTCATTGAGGTGTTGGGCTACACTCTTAACGTCTCGAAATAGGAGGCGGTCGAGGCAATGGTAGATTGTCGTATTGGCTCAAAGAATGGGTACATATTTGACATTTTACTTAATTGATAGCTATGTTCTCTGACACGTAGGCAAAGGCATAATAATATAAATTACTTTGAATATGTAAGTTCCTAACAGATGAAAAGTTTCCACATTGATGAGTTATTTCTAACTACAAAATATTTCCAGATCTCTCTCAAAACGAGTGATGTTATTGCTGCATGGATCGTATGACGTACCATTGTTGTGCATTATGGACTCATCAGTAAACGTGAAAAGTGTTGGAATGCCGAAGCAAAATTATCTATAAATTAAAAAAAATATTCAATTCAATAAATAAGATCGTTAAGATGTTCAAGTGTTTGTTATATCAAGAATAAATTATTCGAATTTGTAGTTAAATTCGATGGTCAATTCTTGAATAAATTCTAAAACATGGATTTTTCAGTTTTTTGGATCACGAACTTTCATCTTTTTAATTTCAAGAACTTGATGCTTCAAACATTCAAGTTTTCTATGATATTTTTCAAAGTCAAGACCACATCATTGGATGTGCATATTCTTTTAATTAAATTAAGAAACTAATTATTGAACTAAACAACTAATAAAAGTAAGGAAAAAAATTTCTCTATCTCTGTCTCCAAATTTAAACATAATCAAATTTTGTATTATGATTGTTATATGAATTTTAGGTTCCATCCAATTTCTATTGATAGAGATAGAATAGTTCCAATTATTGTACAATAATAATTCCACATTTAATTAAGAGTTCTAATTAAAATTTAAGTAAGTTTTTCAATTAAAGTCCAAATTCAATTAGTTCACATTTTAATTACATGTATAATTCTAGAACTTCAATTACAATTATAATTAAGTTTACCTTTAACAGTAATCACAACAAAGTACAAAACTTTATTGTAATTATAATTAAACCCAAAACTATTATAATTATCGTAATTAAATTTTAATACTTTATAGAGTTACCATAGGGACCTGATCGGACAAATATTATCCAAGTTTCGATAATTAGATCATATCTAGTTGACTCTAAACCACACAATCTAATTATTAGTCTTTGTTTTTTTAACTAAAGGTAAAAGACTAAACTCTTGGAATATATAAGATCACAGAAGTCAATAAATCAGTAATACTTTTCTCTAACTTGTCGTATATGCATTTTATTCCCATCCGAGATCAGATAATTAGGTGCGAGCATAAATGACCGTTTGTCCTTTTAATTATTTTCATTAAATTAAGTATCGTTTTCTTCAACGATCCTGTGAACTAATCAAAGATGTCGAAATTTAACTGTCGGTAAATACTAAGCTCAGATTTTAATCGTCAATAGAAGATATTTAAGTAGTCACTTTATCTATTTTTTGGGTGATGATTCTCGACATGAGTTTATGTTTTTTATTTCGCTCATTCTCAAGTTCTTAACTCATTAAGATACTTGACCAATCAAATTGATTTCACTCATTGATGAATTAAATAACTAATAAATCACGAAAAGATATACCTAACCCTATCAAGGGATTATAATGAAATACACAGCGGTCAAGTGAAATTTAATTCTCCGCACGATCATCTATGGAGTTAAACTCGACACATGGTGCGTTCAATACACTCCAAGCGTACTAGTATCACCTTTAACTATTTATGTGATAAGAACAAATCACAAATCTGAATGGTAAATCGATCAACACTACAACCTTCAAGTACAAGGTGTCAACTCTTATATATTGGTTATGAACAAATTATTTATGATCAACATTTAAATTGTGTTATACTGTATTTCTCAACGCAAAACCCAACTTATATCATCACAAGTAATCATGTACACTTTAATTTACATGTTCAATAATAAATAATATAATAAATAAATAAATAAAATCGCAATTTTTTTATAAATTATTATTCTATCATACAAAATATACTATATAAGCAGAGTTGGCGCTGAGATTTTGGGTGCAATGTGCAAGATTTTAAAAGAGTGCCTCTTCAAGTAATTAGAACACATATTAAAAATATATATATTTCAATAATATTATTTCATTGTAAAAATATGATATTTAATTTTTTTTTTCACATACACGAACAAAAAAACACATAAATAAAACTCAAGAGCATTCTCGAACTTCATCAAAATTCATATGTCATCAATAAAGAACCATCCAAGCCACTAACTTATTCGTGCAATTCCATAAAATCAAACCTTGAAAAAAATTATATATCAAGTGTAAAATTTGAAATGCAACAAATCATGTAAAAATATTTTTTCTTGCATTTTTAAAAGCAAACTCCTAATTAAACGTTTGAAATCAAATTTTTCTAGAAAGTATTGCTCAATATTTTTTAAGTGTTCAACTTTTTCGGAGGAAAATTATGTCGTGCTTTTTCAATCCTCAGTCTCCACATTCAAGCGAAGTGAATTAAAATTTTAACAAGTTCTTGCAAAGTAAATTCAAATAAGTAAAATCATGGAATGAGATTGACGAAAAGATAATAAAGAAAAGATAACATGTAATTCAGATTTTCGACGAGAGTATAATGAAAAATATGAATCGTCAATTATCGCTTAAGGAAAATAGAGAATTTTTTGAAGCCAGATAAAAAAATGATCAGAGAAAAAGATGACTTTTCCAAAAAGATGATTGGTTTCTTTCTTCTCTTCCTCAATTATCTTTGAGGCAATTGAAAAAGGCGGTTGCTCAGTTTTTCTTTCTTCTCTTAATTCTTTGACCGACTTGATCTCTTTTCGACTTTTTCCCTTTTCCTCACATTATTTAAGGTAGGAATACTGTTTAATAATATTATATTCAAGGAAATTATACTTAGTCACATTATTCTTCATTTTAATATCTTATGCATAATAATAAAGATTTTATAGTTTAAAATTAATCTATATTTTAAATATTTAATTATAAATAAATATACAACTATAACAATTTTTTTTTTTTTTTGTTACAAATCTTTCAAACAAGCAGTAGTCATAGGCATCTTCATACTCAAGCCGTAGGATAATCAGTCAAATATCCTACGGCCAAAGATGCTCGGTTAAATAAGTGAGAAGCTTTGCTCATTTTGAGATCATGTGCGGTCGCTCAACTCGCGCAACCTCCAAATCGTCTCTGTATAGGCGCAACCCAACAAAAAGAAAATCACTATCAATAACATAGTTACAACTTTCAAAATCTAGGTAAAGCTTCAATTCAAAGAAGAAGCCCAAACATTATAACGCACGAGGCAATCCTTGTCCCACTTATATATTTTTATATATTTTTTACCATTAAATTCTAGGGTAATTTAAGAATTGTTCCAATGGGCTTGTATAATGTGTTAACATAAAAAAATTGAATTAACGTGATTCTAAATAAAAAAAATTTTTCAAAAAATAACTAAACACTTGGATGGGGCAGGGGGGTGGTGATCCCGCCTCAGGCCCATGACAGAGCAGTGGAATATCGTGGAGTTCTAGTTTTTTTTATTTAAATTGCCATCTTTAACCATAAAACATTTAGAAGTCGCAGTGTGTAACCTGTGCCCATTGTAAAACAACACATTGAGCATCCGTTTGGACATTTTATAAATAATTTATAAAAAGGAACAATAGTGATTTTCAAAGAATATGTCAATAATAATGAGTAGTAGTTATGAATACATGATTAAAATTAATATTTTGAGTGAATTTGTAAATCATTTATAGATTTATTACCAAATGGAGCGTATATTTCAAATGTGAGAGTTCAACTTTCAACACCAAATAATGGCCTAAACATATATCGCCAAATTTACAATTTCAATAAATTTGTAAAATTTAAATAAGCTGTTTTCTTTAGGGAAAAATTCATTAAAGGTTCTAATCTTTTATAAAAATGCAAATAGATCCCTAACTTAAAATTTCGACACCAACATCCCTATTTTCCCGTCCAAATTGGAAGGTTATGAATTCATTTGCACTTTTTGTAAATATTAGCATCCCCGCTAAAATAAATTTATTTTGTGATTTTTTATGTAATTGAAAAAAATAAAAACTGCCAAAGTGGAAAAATTGGCCGTTACAATTGCAGGGGCAAGATCCATATAGGCTATAGCCAACCAAGCCAATGGCTAGACTCACACAGAGAGCTTCATAGCAATTATATACACCATCTCCGATTCTCTCTTTAATTTTGCTGGATCAACTCAATCAACAGAGAGAGAATGAGCGGAGCGGGGAAGAAGGTAGCAGACGTGGCTTTCAAGGCCGGTAGAACCATCGATTGGGAAGGCATGGCCAAGTTGCTGGTCTCCGACGAGGCCCGAAAGGAGTTCGCCACGCTCCGACGAGCCTTCGATGAAGTGAACACTCAGTTGCAGACCAAATTCAGCAAGGTATCGATGTAGATACAAGTACTATATTTTATGGGTATTTGTATGTGCGAATTATTTGGGGTTTGCTTTTGGTTCTTTTTAGATTGGGTGTGGTACAGATCTGTGGAGTTTTTTTGTTGGTGGTATTGCTAAGCGATTTGTTTTCGTTTTGAAATTGTGCAAAAATAAAATGAATAAATAGGTGTGTTTAGTTTTTGAGAGATTGGGCTTATTTTTTGTTATATTTTTTTTCTGGGTTATATCTGAGCTGGGATAAAATTGTCGGGGAGATAATTCTTAAAAGTTTTTGTTGATTTACTCATTCTCTTTGTTTCGATGGCATGAGATTGAGGCCTTAGATTGAAATTTTTGAATATGTGATTCTAATTTGATGACTTCATTTCTAATTTCAATGTCTAGGGCCTAAGCATATCTATAAAATACAACCTTGGTGTTTTCCTTGGTAAAATCATTAACCGAATGGAGTCTATGTATTGAAGTTCACATGTCAGAACTTGAATTAGAAGATGGGAAATGATAGAGAAAAATTGAAACAATGTCTGTTTTTTAACCTGATATTTCAAACACATAATCATATGACCCGTTTATGGGTTTTCTGAGCGGCAGGTCTTTAACAAGTGAACCCAACAAAGTTATATTAGTGCATTGGCTTCTTCTTTCTGTATTAGCTTAGCTCTGGCATTCAAATTGACGTGTGAGAATGAAGGGAAAGTAGAAGTGTTGGTATCATTGGAGCACTGAATTAAAAGCAGCCTTCTTATATGCATTATGCAAATTGCACTTTTTTAGTGACCTTCTTCGTGAACTTAAAGGAGAAATTGAATAACATAGGAATGTGGTTCGTCTAGTGTCTATACATATTGAGTCCTAGAAGAAAGGAACATATGTAGTTAATGGTTTCTTGTTGAAGAAGTCAAAGTCTTTTAGTTGTTTGTTTATCTTTCTGTTAATAAACCCTATTTGTTAGGGTCATGCTGTGTTGTTTGATTCAGTTTTCAATTAGAATACCACGTTCATAGGAGTGTAGAACGTGGGCTATTATTTTCTTATTTCCTGTTCGAGTTTGTAAAGCTATATTAGCCGAAAGCTTTCTATGAATTCAATAAGAGTTATTCTCCAAATATTGCAGAGATTCTATCTAGAGTTTAAGTCTTCAACAAATATTTGGTATCAGAGCCTCATCACAAGCCTGACCAAGAGATGGAGAAAGGAAAGAGGGTCTATGATTGAAGTATGGCTATAGAAAGCAACTTCATTCAGCCTGCAATTCCTAAGTTTGATGGCCATTATGATAACTGGTCAATGCTTATGGTAAATTTCCTTCGATCGAAGGAATATTGGAGTGTAGTGGAGAATGGAATAAATGCGGCACCAGAGGAAGCAGTGTTGACTGAGGCTCAGCGCTAGCTAATGGAGGATTAGAAGTTGAAAGATTTGAAGGTCAAGAATTATTTGTTTCAGGCTATAGATCAGACGATTATAGAGAATAGTCAAGGATACAACGAAGCAAATTTGGGACTCGATGAAGCAAAAATATCAGGGTTCAACAAAGGTGAAGCGAGCACAATTGCAAGCCTAAGAAGAGAGTTTGAGGTCCTACAGATGAAGGAAGGAGAAGGAGTGGACAAGTACTTTGCTCGTACTCTCACCATTGTTAACAAGATGAAGATACATGGTGAGAAGATGGATCAAGTTGTTATTATTGAGAAAATTTTGAGGTCTATGACTTCATTTGACTGTCGTGTGTTCAGTGGAAGAATCTAATGATTTGGACACTAACAATCGATGAGTTACAGAGTAGCTTGCTAGTGCATGAGCAAAGGATGGATGGGCATAAAAGTGGTGAAGAGTAGGTACTCAAATTCTCATATGAGGATAGAGTTGGAGGTGGAGGAAGGGGACGTGGAGCTTACAAAGGAAGAGGCCGAGACATAGGAAGACATCCTTTCAACAAAGAAATTGTGGAATGTTACAAGTGTTACAAACTAGGACAATTTCAATACGAGTGTCCAAGCTGGGAAAAGAATGCGAACTATGTTGAGTTGGGGGAGGAAGATGAAATGCTGTTAATGTCATATGTGGAACTTAACAACTCGAGAAGAGAGGATGTGTGGTTCCTCGACTCTAGTTGTAGTAGCCATATGAGTGGGAACAAGAAATGGTTCTCACACCTTGATGAAAGTTTCAGACATTCTGTAAAACTTGGGACGACACCAATATGGCAGTCACTGGAAAAGGGAGCATAAGGATGGAGGTTGGTGGGATTTCACAAGTGATTATAGAAGTGTTTTACATATCAGAGTTAAAGAACAACCTGCTTAGCATCGGACAGCTTCAAGAAAAAAGCCTTGCCATCCTAATTTGGGAAGGAATGTGTAAGTTGTATCATCCAAGGAGAGGTCTGATCATGCAGAATACAATGTCTGCAAACAGAATGTTCGTCCTATTAGCTAACTGCGCTACCTTGTGTCTCTGCTTGTCTTCAAACAGCCCGTGAAGATGTGTCACTCCTATGGCATTGCAGGTTTGGTCACCTAAATTTTAAGAGCTTGAAAATGTTGCAATATAAGGTGAAATGTATGCTTGTATGCAAGACTCCGAGCAAAATATGCACTAATTGCCTAGTGGGGAGACAACACCGAAGGACTATACCAAGGAAGAGTTCATGGAGGGCTTCTCAAAGGTTGCAGCTAGTCCACGCTGACATTTGTGGACTAATCAAACCAATGTCAAGCAGCAAAAAGAGGTATTTGATATGCTTCGTTGATGACTTTAGCAGAAAAACATGCATTTATTTCTTGAGTGAGAAGTCAGAAGCATTTGGTGTCTTTAAAATTTTCAAGCAATTTGTTGAAAAGGAAATTGGTGAATTTATAAAATGTTTGCACACGGATAGGAGAGGTGAATTTACATCTTCCGAGTTCAATCATTTTTGTGAAAATAATGGTATTAGAAGACAGTTGACGGCAGCCTATACACCCCAACAAAACGGGGTGGTTGAGCGAAAGAATCGAACCATAATGAATATGGTTCGAAGTATGTTGTCTGAGAAGAAGGTTCCTGAAACATTTTGGTCAGAAACTGCGAGGTGGAGTGTGCATGTGTTAAATCGAAGCCCAACCTTGGCCTTAAAAGATGTGACTCCAGAAGAAGCTTGGAGCGGTATCAAGCCTACAGTAGACTATTTTCGAGTGTTTGGATGTGTTGCACATGTACACATTCCCGACAACAAGAGGGTGAAGTTAGATGATAAGAGTTTTTCGTGTGTGTTTTTGGGAAGGATCGAGGAATCAAAGGCCTATAGACTTTATGATCATGTTGCTAAACGTATTGTGGTGAGCAGGGATGTAAATTTTGAAGAAAATGAGTGTTGAAATTGGGAAAGAAGTGCAGAAGGAGTAAAGCTTGACATTTTAGGATGGGGAGATGATGATGAAGGTAGTGAGCAAAGTAATGAAGAAGGTGAGGGCAGTAAGCTTGAGGAAGAAGAAAGTGGAGCTAGCTCATCATCACATGAGCCTTTTGATGAAAATTTACCAAGCTCGGATGAGGTGAGGACTAGAAGACGGCCTCCTTGGTTGGAAGGCTATGTTAGTGGTGAAGATTGAGGTCTGTCTGAAGAAGCTGCCACCCTATTACATTCTAGGAGGCTGTCAAAAGTCCAAAGTGGAAGGAAGCTAGGGATTTGGAAATTGAAGCTATCGAAAGGAATGGTACTTGAGAGCTGACCACTCTACTTGTTGGAGCCAAGAAAATTGGTGTGAAATGGTTGTTTAAAACAAAGCTTAACGAGCATGGATCTGTGGACAATTGCAAAGCTCGCCTCGTGTCTAAAGGGTATGCACAAGAGCGTGGAATTGATTATAATGAGGTGTTTGCCCCAGTTGCAAGATGGGACACTATCAGAATGGTGATTGCTCTTGCAGCTCAGATGGGGTAGAATATTTTCCAACTAGTGTGAAGAGTGCCTTCTTGCACGGTGAATTGACTGAGGAAGTTTTTGTGGATCAACCTCAAGGTTACGAAAGAAAAGGGGAGGAGGACAAGGTGTACAAGCTAATGAAGGCGTTCTATTGTTTTAAGTAGGCTCCAAGGGCTTGGTACAGTCGGATCGAGTCTTATTTTGTGAAAGAGGGCTTCGAAAAGTGCAGTTTTGAGCATACACTGTTTATCAGGTCCGATAAGGAAGGTAAATTTCTTATTGTTAGTTTGTATGTTGATGATCTTATATTTACTGGTGATGAGGTGGAGATGTTTGAGAAGTTTAAATAATCTATGATGCTCGAGTTTGAAATGACTGATCTTGGAAGGATGAGATACTTCCTTGGAGTAACTTCACAAAATGAAGATGGGATCTACATCAGTCAAAAGAAGTATGCTCGAGATGTGTTCGAAAGGTTTGGGTTGGCAAATAGCAACTCAGTCAAGAACCCTATTGTCCCACGGTTTAAGTTGATGAAGGATGAGAAGGGAGCTAAAGTTGATGCCACTGCTTTCAAGCAAATGGTTGGGAGTCTTATGTATTTAACTGCAACAAGGCCTGACTTAATGTATGTTGTTGGTTTAATTAGCAGATACATGGGGAGTCCCACTGAACTGCATTTACAAGCAGCAAAGAGAGTGCTTCGATATGTAAAAGGCACTGTGGATTTGAGGATCTTTTACAAGAAGGGTACAAATGGGATTTTGCTGGGTTACATTGACGGTGACTATGCAGGTGACTTAGTTGATCGAAGAAGCACTTCTGGTTACATCTTCAAGCTTGGAACTGGAGTTGTAGCTTGGTCATCAAAGAAACAACCAATTGTGACTTTATCCACCCTTGCCAGAGAGTTTGGATGAGGAAAGTATTGGGGAAGCTCGGTCACATTTAAAACAGGAGTACTATAGTGTTCTGTGATAATTGCTCTACTATAAAGTTGTCAAATAATCATGTGCTACATGGGAGGAGCAAACATATTGACATAAGGCTCCACTTTCTCCGTGGCCTTGTTAAAGATGTAGTTTTGGAACTTGTTCATTGTGCTACAGAGAATCAAGTTGTTGATGTTATGAGCAAGCCATTGAAGCTTGATGCATTCTTGAGGCTTCGAGAATAGCTCAGTGTATGTGCAGTACCCGAGGTAGACTGTTTGCTGACTGCAAATCAGTTTAGGGGAGGAAATTGTTTGAAGAAGTCAAAAGTCTTTTAGTTGTTTGTTTATCTTTCTATTAATAAACCCTATTTGTTAGGGTCATGCTGTGTTGTTTGATTCAGTTTTCAACTAGAATACCACGTTCATAGGAGTGTAGAACGTGGGCTGTTTTTTTCTTATTTCCTGTTCCAGTTTGTAAGGCTATATTAGCCGAAAGCTTTCTTTGAACTCAATAAGAGTTTTTCTCCAAATATTGCAGAGTATTCTGTCTAGAGTTTACGTCTTCAACATTTCTTCCTTTTCTTAATGACTAAACTCAACAATGTACTTTTTCCCTGCTTTTATAGTGAAAAAAATAAAAATCAGTTAGGTGTTTTTATCCCCTGTGTAGTCTAGATTAAAATCTGATCATCTCATTTCATAGATCCCTAACTTTTCAACCACACATTTCATCAACTTTTCAAAATCTAGTAAAAATATGTTTTTAATCTACTCCTAACAGGGGCTCAGTCTTTACATTTTCATTTACTTTTGTTACTTTAGCCAGCTTTAAACATTCATTTGCATGTATGTTGTATTATCTTTATGTCAATGGAAATATGATATCTCTTGGATGCATGAGGGAGAACTACATTTTTGTTGTTGAGGGGCTTCCAATTGTTATTGGAATACTTTCATTAAACTTGATATGCTTTCAGTTTTTCCGCTTGGGTTTCCAACCCTTAGGTGCCATTCCTAGCAGCCAAATATAGCGTCAAGTGTCATCTATTTTCGATTGTTTTTGCGTGCTAGTCATTTTTTTAAATTGTCAAATAGTTTTGTTAGCTTTTTTGTGCCTGAACATATGAGTAATGTGGACACACTTCAGTTATTTGAAATTGCATTTTGTATTACCATATTTATGGTTCTGTCTGTTTCTACGAGAAAACTTAATTTCTTTTTCTTTCACGAGCATAACTAGAAGTTTCTATCGTGCTTTTGGAAGTCATTATTGATGGAAAATAAATGTGAACCTGAGAAATATTGATTTGCTCTACCACAAGCAATTTTGCATTGTGATATTTGTCAAGCTGTTTCCTTAATTTACATTTATACTTGGTGTGTATCTATGACTATCTAGATCTGGTACAAATTATTATTCATTTCGATAGTAGGTGTTTGTAGTATACGTACAATGAAAATGACATATTTTGTGCAGGCTTGGAAAAAATTATAATTTCCTTACAAATTTATGATCAAAGTCAAATATTAATTTTAATCACACATTTTGTAGGATGTCAACTACTTCCCACTTATCCATCACTTTTCAATCACGTTATAATTTCAGTAACTTATAATTTTATCCAAACATATACACACTGACATGACAAATGCAGTTTTATTGAGGTTTTCTTTAACAGTTTCATGCAATGCAATGTGATTGACTTACTTTTTCTAGATTATATTTTCTTAAAAAAATGAAATTTTGTATAATAATCATGTTGTAAACTATAGTCTCCTGCCGTTCTTTAGGCCCATACAAATGACGAGCATTTGATCTTTTAAATTTTCAGTTACTTTCATTTTTTGAGCTTGCTAAGCCTAGGGAGAACATAAAACTACTCAGAATATTATATTTTTCAATATAATTCACTATTCAGTGTCATTTTTTCTAGCGTATGTTAATGGTCCAAAATAGAAGATTGTATTGCCAATAGCATCCGCCATCCAGAATATGCAATGGTGTTACTTTCTTCCTTTCTAATGGCAAGTAGAGGGAATACATGTAGAGTGGACTTTTCAAACTAATTTTACTTTCTTGCATATGCAGGAACCAGAACCCATAGACTGGGAATATTACAGGAAGGGGATTGGTTCTCGCTTGGTTGATATGTATAAACAAGCATATGACGGTATGTGTAGCATGTTGCCTGGCTTTTTCATTATTTGTGTTTTCCATATATTAATTGCTCCTTTTTATTGTTTTTTGTTTTCTGGATTGGCAAGTGACTTCCTGAACTGGGTTTATTGTGTCAGTGCTAAAGATCATATTTTCTGTTAGAAAACATATTTCATATGCCTCCCAGCGAGCACAGCTCAAGCTGGATATATAGAGTGAGAATAACACTGTGAACGGTTTTTAGATTATACAAGCTGAACCCCTACAACTGACTACGTAGAAACGACATTTTATACAATCAGTCATAGAAGTACTCTTGAAGTTTGGATAACAAAATTGTGAGTCAAACGTGCAAATGCATATGGCAGGATTTGGAGCCAGCCACTTGAATTTTTGGCTGAATTTTATTCTACTAAAATGCTTGAATTTTTATATATTTTTTTCGAAGTAGGGTATTTTCGTATTTTAATGAATTCTGGACATGGGTTAGATTTTATCATCTGTGGTTCTTAATTTGGTTTAATGACATGATTTATGGAAAATCTTAATTGGTCCATAACAAAATTTAGTGATGGGTCATATATCTTTTAGTTCATACTTGTAGTTGTAGTCTTTGTACTGGTGGAAGAGATCATTTGAGTTCAAGTAGCAATCTCTTCATTTAGCCCCTATTTGGTGTAGATTAAAATTTGATAAAAATCTCAAATCTACAATTAATTTTAACCACACATTTCATGGGACCCATGACCTTTTAACCATACATTTCATCAACTTTTTCAAAATCTATTAAAAATCTTTATGTCTACACCAAACTGGGGCATAATAAATTTAGATATTATTACGTAAAATTGAGTGTGCTGTGTTTTTCAAAATGTCTACTATAGTTTTTCTTCTGTCCAATGATTTTAGCACTCTAAATCCTTCTTCAAAACACAAAGGAATCATTATTAGAGCCATCCTTTCTCAATATCAGAATCACCAAAAACTGCTGTGATCTCTCAGAATTTACTGTTCAAGGGTCTGTTCATCAGTTTTCGAATGGAGATCGGATTGTGTTAAAATCTCAGCTGTTTGTTTTACCATATTTAGATCTTTATTATTATGTTTTCTTCTTATCTTTTGGACTTGTTCATTTATACTTTGCGGACTAGTCGTCTTGCAGCTATGAACTTGAAGTAAAGAGGTCTTTAATCTTTGGCCTATGGCTTATCTCTCATTGAATTTTACAAGCTATTTACTGTATGAAAATAATAATATGCCTGGGAAGATATTAATAGAAAAGTGATATTTGAATCATAGTATTGAACCACAACTCTTCAAAACCTGTATTAGCTGTAAATTCTAAGATACCTGTTGCTTGAGAGAAGATATCCTAGTCCCAATCAACTGTTCTAGTGAATTCTTCGTATAGTTTATTCACCTTGAAGTGTTTCTAATGCGGCCTACAAATCCTGGAACATATTTAAACAAAGAAAAAGAAGAGGAGGAAAAACTTAGAAAATGTTGTAGTTATGGCGTCTTCGTGATTTTTATCATATCTGAACAACCCTGGAATTCATTGACGACGTGATTAGGAAAAATCTGCAGATTACTGAATCATGGAGGTAAGTCCCTGGTTGGCTCGCAAAGAGTCTTTTTAAATCATTCTTTATTGGGGAATTTGGTTGACCTTAGTTCTGCTGTTTTACTTACTTTTAACTTCAAGAAAGATGATCTGATTTTTTTTTTCTGCAGAAGTTAAAATCCCACAATATGTAGACAACGTCACTCCTCAATACAAACCCAAGTTTGACGCTCTGGTGAGAAGATTTATGAGGACTGCATAATCACTCTACCTTTTTATGAACTCAGGAAATTTGTATTTCTTTCTGCACTTCCTATTTCCCAAGCCTGATAGAGAACATCTTCAATTGCTTGGAACATCCTCTGCAACTTTTTAATTTAGACGTCGTTGCCTTTGTTGGGACAGTAGCTGCCCTGGTATCTTGAACAACTAGAAGCTTGCTCTATGTAAAAAGTGAAAACGAATGTCAAAACCTTAAATATGAAAAACAAGATTTCTTGTTTTATATTCCAAATAATTTTATTCATCACAATCTTCAGAGAAGTACATCATAAAGCAAAAGACACCACACCACCTCTCGAACATTGCCCTCTTAATCTAGTCACAATGAAGATATTCCAAGTTCTAACTGGATTCTCGTTAACAATTCTTTCTTTTCTCTTCTATATTTCACATTATGAGTGTTAGAGAATCTTATGTTGAAGTTGCTTGTCTCGAGTTGTAGTTGGTCGAGCTGAAAGAAGCTGAGCAGAAGTCGCTGAAGGAGTCGGAAAGACTGGAAAAGGAAATTGTTGATGTCCAAGAGCTGAAGGTAATGTAAACACGGTTTTTTGCATGCACAAATCTTCACCCATCCCCTTTTTGCCTTCTCTTCCCTACTCATGTCTCCTCTGTATCGGGATGTCTCACAAATTTTTTCTTGGTGTGACAGATGAAACTAAGTACAATGACCGCTGATGAATACTTTGCAAAGCATCCTGAACTGAAGAAGAAGTTTGATGATGAAATCCGAAACGATTACTGGGGCTATTAGTTTTTGCTTCATGTAGCACCTCCCGGGACCAGTTTCACTCGAAGTCTCAAACCTTTTTGAGCTTGTCCGCAATTTATGAATAAAGAGGAATGTTTTGTTTTATCCTTTCATTTCTTGGTTATTTTCAAGACTGTGAACCAGGAGACAGTCACTGGGGGATTTGCTAATGCAACCTTCGATACGAGGATTAACATGATGTGTTGAAATATTCAATGAAATTTCATAATCAGAAGTCCCATGGATTTTCAGACTCGTGGTGTATGAATGTTTAGTACGTAGTAGTGGATGCGTTGACAAGATTTAAACTTTTTTTCTTTAATATGTCCAATCTCGTCCCATTATATAAAATACTAAATTCTTAACTGTTTTCCGTCCCTGTACCATCCAATTTTAACTAACGAGCATGTCACACAGTCTGTAATGCGCTTCAGAGTGAAATATCGATGAATTCTTTTTCAGGTAATGCGATTTCCTTGTAGGCCAGGCCATTAAATTTTGTAGAACCGAACTATTGGACGATGTGCAGAAAAAAATTTACTAATGAATTTTAAATTTATTAAGATTAAAACTTAATTTGTCTTTAATCTCATTACAATGCTGAAAGTATAAAATATTACAAACATGCAAATGCAGACTGTTAATATGAAACCGAAAACTTCTCCCAATATCTGAACAGTGCCTTTACCTGGTAAATGCCGGGAATGCCATGAAATTCTGAATGAAAGACACCTATGAGATTTTTTTCTGTCCCTCCCCTTTACATAAACTGCCTTTAACTCCAAAATACTCCAAAATCAAGCAAAATTTTGACTGAAAAATTAGTTTTAAACAATTATTGAAAATGGGGAGGAGATGGGCTTTGTTTTTACTAGTGGTTGTGGTCTGTTGTGCACTGGTGGCAGGTGTTGGTGGCAATGAAGATGACTGGAGGTGGGAGGAGGAAGAAGGCGGTGAAGGTAGTGGAGAAGAGGGCGGAGCAGGGCGGCCGGAAGGAGTGGACTGGTTCTTGTTGCAGGATTCAAAGCAAGTGGTGAAGACTGATGCAGGGAAAATGAGCGTGGTGAGAGGTTTTGGAGGCAAATATATGAAAAGTCCCATGCATATTGGGTACATTAATATGGAGCCCAAAAGTTTGTTCATACCTCAGTATCTTGATTCCAGTCTTATACTTTTCATTCGCGAAGGTATTCATTTTTCTTTAATTTACATGTTTTGTGGGTCGAGTTGGACAATTCTGAATATGATTAACATAAATTTGACACTGGTTATGTTGAATAATCGACCTTCAATGGTGGATTTTTCGAGCTCAGTTTAACTAATCTCTATCTTATTAAACACACCCAATAAAGGCTTCAACCCAAACAATGATTCTTACTTCGGTTGCTCAACTCAATGTGTTCACAAAGAACACAATATAGTGGCTGCAATGAATCACAAAGAATAGAGGAAGACAGATTCAATTTTTGGCTCAAGAGAGAAAATTGGAGAAAAATGTAGGCTGCCTTTTTTCAATTGCGCACACACACGGCTCCTTCACAAATGAGAACAATATATAGGCTTAGGGTATAATAATATAATGGGCTCATGGACCAACTAATGGTTAAAGGGGGCGGAACACAAATTGAGCCATCCGAGAAGTAAATGGGCCGTGAGCAACATTAACTATATTAAGTTGCTTCAAACGACCCTCGAGTTATTTTTCGGGTTGAGCTAATTAATCGAGTGTGTTAATAAATATTTCAATCATTGGCCGAAGCCTATGAAATCTAATCCGACTATCCGACACTGTTTAACATTATCGCTCGGGATTATTGGGTATCAAAAACCCAACAATCTCCACCTTGATGCCCAATAATCTGCAAATAACCAAAACACAGTTTAAACTTGCACAATCAAAGTAATCCAATAAAATTGGTAACTCAGACCTTACCTCGTGTTTCGAACCGAAACACACACCATACCTGCTCCATGTACTCACCGGGGCTAAGGTCCAAAAAAACCCAGGTAGAAACAAGTACTTACAGTGAACAACTAATCATGCGATAAAGATATTATATAGGATACATCACACAGATCTTTTCAAATTCATGTTCTCACATAATCAAAGATTAACACCAAGTTAATCAGCACACGGTCAAACACATATGCAACAAATGCATAAATGACCTCATGAAAGATCTCACCACATTTATCCTATCCCATTTCGTGTTACTCTTATCTCGAGAACACATATCTCCTCTCATCACCCACCATGCTCACTAAATAGATCACACAACTCATGTCAAAATGACAAGTCACAATAGATCCTAAGTTCAGGGATAATCCTCTATCACCACATCACTTCTCCTAACCTACGTGGATAATGAGACTCCACCTTACAGAAGTGATAGAAGTACCTCTCTCGCACTCCACCTGTATAGGGTCTCTTTCACAGATAAAGGATTCTACACATTTGATCACATCTCCACTTGTGATCCAAATGTCACACTCCACATCCCCCGGTACAAATCACCATGTACCCCTAGGCATCTATACTCCACCTTACCAAAAGACATCTAGCACACTGCTAACGCATCCTAACCCACTATGCATGCAAACGATTACACCAAGTAATCACATTATCTCAAATTCATGTAAACACACATATCAAACAAATTGAAATACAACATATAGTCATGCAACAAATTAGGCAATCACACACATGCTGAAAGGATCACACACAGATGCATATGCAGTGACTAGGTTTACTCTCTCAATAAACCTCACTGTGGTCATAACTCGACCCCTCAACCACATTCGTCTCACCTCTCACATAACCCTTCTGCTTATCCTTCTTCTTGGGACAATCCCTAATAAAGTGTCAAGTCTTACCACAACTATAACATCGTCTACCACCAGACTTGTCCCGTCCCTTGCCCTTCATCTTACCACCTTCATCACTCGAGTCACTACTCGAATCACTGCTATTTTGAACTCTACCCAAATTCATTTTCTTAAACTTCATCACACTCCTTATCATGTGTAACTCACCACTCCTCTTATCTTCATTTTCAACTTTCATTTCCATCTCCTTGCTCCTAAGTGAGTCTACGACAATCTCGGGAGTCAATGTATCCCTACCATACTTAATGGCATTTTTAACTTCCTTATATGACTCAGGCATAAAATTAAGCAAGATTATAGCCTTTTAGGTTTCAGATACGGTTTCTTCACAGTTAACAATATCTTGGACAAGTTTATTGAAAACATCTAAATTGTCATCAAGATCTTTTGAAGGATCCATTTTAAAACTGAAGAAACGCTCAAGAAGATAAAATTTATTGGGAGTGGATTTAAGCAAATATAAATCTTCCAACTTTTTCCAAAGATCTTTTGTGGTTTTCAGTTTTCCTACTTTTTTCAAAACAGCGTCAGACAGATGTAAAATGATTGAGGTATAAGCAAGCTCATCGACTTCTTCTTTTTGTTATTTTGAAAAATTAGCTGGAAAATTGCCTTCAATGACTTTTGAAACTTTTTGTTGGACTAAAATACTCTTTATTTTTTGTTGCCAGATTGAAAAATCACATTTTCCATTGAAAATACCAACTTCGAAATGTAAAGACATTTTTGAAAAAACGAAACAATCAATTAGGCAAATAGTTCACACAAAGTAATCCTACGACCGAAATATACACCGTTCTAGATTTCCAGGGTTTCGTAAGACTCGCGGTCTTAGATCAAGGGAACGTTTGAACGGGTAAGGTTTAGGTATTCTAATGAAAGTAACAACACAGCGAAATTTACGATGCAACAAAATAGATATATCTAATCAAATGAAATTTCACGACAATTTTAGCACAAAGCACAATACGCTAATTTATTCAAAAACAAGTACTCAATCGCAACAATTAAGAGCAAGTAATCCTAATTTCTAGCACAAGCAATGGCTGCCAAGCAATGACAACCCCCAACTTATTGTCACCCCACACGGTGACGCGCTAATACTGAAATTAACTAGTTAAACCAATTTACCAAAGCGGACGTGTTTGAGTCCGTATAATCGAGAGAGATGCGAATCTGCTGCTTTAGAACCACCACTATTCGTCCTAAAGATTCAGCAAATATAACAGTGCAGCCCACCAAGAAATGCAATTCGATTTCCAGGGGCAAAATCGTCCAACTTTTTCTGTGTAACCTGAAACAGAAAACTTCCAACACAAAAAATGTTAGAAATAATATGAGGAACAAACTGCCTGAAGAAAGCTTCCCCAGAAACGGCCGCACGCGCCCACATGCGCCACCGTCGGAGAAGACACGCATCGTCGTCGCTGCCCAGACGCGCCGGCCACCCAGCACCGCCTCCACATGCAGATCACGAATCCGACCTCCGTTTCACCAAAAGACGTCTGGATTCTCCAGAAATTGAAGTTGTAGATCCAATTTTTGGAAAAAATTCTGGAAAGTTTTTATTTTCTGATTTCTGTTGGTTTTCTGGTCGGATTTTGGCCGAAAATTCCACCCCAACCTCGCTCTGATACCAAATGTTGAATAATCGACCTCCAATAGTGGATTTTCCGGGCTCAGTATAACCAATCTCTATCTTATTAAACACACCCAACAAAAGCTCCAACCCAAACAACGATTCTTACTTCGGTTGCTCAACTCAATGTGTTCACAAAGAACACAATATGGTGGCTGCAATGAATCACAAAGAATAGAGGAAGACAGATTCAGTTTTTGGCTCAAGAGAGAAAACTAGAGAAAAATGTAGGCTGCCTCTTTTCAATTGCACACACACACGGCTCCTTCACAAATGAAAGCAATATATAGGTTTAGGGTGTAATAATATAATGGGCTCATGGACCAACTAATGGTTAAAGGGGGCGGAACACAAATTGAGCCATCCGAAAAGTAAATGGGTCGTGAGCAACATTAACTATATTAAGTTGCTTCAAACGACTCTCAAGTTGTTTTTCGGGTTGAGCCAATTAATCAAGTGTGTTAATAAATATTTCAATCATTGGCCGAAGCCTATGAAATCTAATCCGACTATCCGACACTGTTTAACATCATCGCCCGGGATTATTGAGTATCAAAAACCCAACAGGTCAGTAGTGAACAAAGTTGGAATAATGTAGATAGCACCATAGTGAATTGAGATTAGAAAGCATAGACAGGATTGAGATACATTAGACGACATGCTAGAGGTAAATAAGACCACACTGGACACTACTGGGTAGATTCATCCTTGCGCAGGGGCATGCTAATCTTCTTTCGGACAGAGAAGATTAACATGGTCCCTGCGCTAGGATGACCACATAAATCAAGATCAAATTGGAACCATACAGGGAGGATTAACATGGCCTGTGAAAGGATGATCCCGCACAAATCAAAAAATGGTCAAAAAAATTAGACACAATCGAGATAAATTAAATAGAACTCGATAAGATTGTGTTGGAGAAATTTTTATTGTGTGTCCAGCATTGAATACCAAACATGCGGAAGTGCGTGCTTGTCGATTGCTTAATAGTTGCAAATAGTTTGCTGCTTCAAAGATTAAGATATGCTGTGTGTTGTTATCTCATTATTGATTGTCCATTGATGAAAATCAGGAAAAAGTCATTATAAATCCATTTTAGTTTGTTTAGGCTTTTTTGTTCCAAGGAATGAAGACCCGGAGAAGTCCTAACTTGCTTGCACCCGAGAAAGACATTATTTAGGAACGTCGCCAAGCAAAGTGGCAACAAGATTTTCCTTTCGCTGAAAGAGCACTAGCAGAAGAATAATATCTACCCATATAAATATCTTGATTTGGTGATTGATTGATGAATATTTGAATTGTATCGAATTTAATGCAGGGGAAGCAAAAATTGGACATATCTACAAAGATGAAGTAGTTGAAAAGCACTTAAGGGCTGGAGACATCCATAGAATTGAAGCAGGCTTGGCTTTTTATCTGATAAATACAGAAGAAGGTCGAACACTAAATACAATATGTAGTATCGACTCATCTAAGAGCTTGGAATGGCGCGCATTCAAGGTAAATTCACCAAGCATTCATTTCCCCTTTCATTGTTTTGAGAAATATATGATTATTCATTCTGATTATTTCTTTTTTGTGGGACTGTGTAGAGTTTAATTATACTGTTTGTTTATCCCCTCGATATGAAGCAACTTGAGGGGGATGCTGAGGGGGATGCTTTTAGATTATTCATTGTAATCTTCTTCTCGATTTTAGGGAAAACTTACAGTGGCAAGTGGACATAGATTATGCTATAGTTCTGTTCGTTGGTTTACTTTGCCAGTTTTGATCCATAAAATTTTTCTCTAATTCCCTTGAGATACTGAACTGAATTGGCCTGTCTACAGAGGTTTAACCAATATTCATACGGTGCAGTCTTTCTTCATTGGTGGAGGAACATATCCAATGTCAATACTTTCAGGTTTTTATCCCTTAAAACTGTCAACGGCATTTAATGTGAGTAATAATTTTAGCATCACAATCACAATCTATTGCACTTTCATCAAGATTGTAACGCCTATGATGTGAATTCAATAGGTTTCTGTAGCCAAATTAAAGGAACTGTTGACGCGGCAGCAAGCTGGTCCAATAATTTCTCTATCCAATTCTCATTCCCCGAGCATATGGACTGGGTTTTTTGGGCCTCGAGCATCATCAGAAACAGGCTCACTTAAAGAGAGTTGTTCATTTGAAGCAAAAATATAGTGAAGAAAAAGAACAACCAAAATGGTCACTCAGAAGCTTTTGATCTCTGCATTAGGAAAGGCAGAAAAGAACAAAATCAACAAAAAAGGTAAAGGGCCCAGATCTTATAATATCTATGACAGAAAGCCTGATTTTAAGAACAACTATGGATGCAACATTGCTTTGGACTAGTCTGATTACTGGCCCCTGGGAAAATTGGACACTGGCATTTATCTTGTCAATCTCTCCACGGTAGGCATTAGTCGATGCTTTTGGTAATTTGATAGTTGTTGATATTGATTAGATTGTGCATGATTGGCAGGCAATATTGTTATGTACCTTATAGTGTCCTGCTTTGTCGGTACACGTATTTGATTGCTTGAAACTGTGCGGTTGTTCAAATGCAGGGCTCGATGATGGCACCGCACATCAATCCAAGGGTGACTCTAAGTATGGCATTGTACTGAGAGGAGCCGGTACAATTCAAATTGCATATCCTAATGGAAGTCTAGCCATGAATGCCAAGAGTAACCGAAAGCAATGTGTTCTGTATTCCAAGATACTTCCCGTTCTGCCAAGTTGCATCGAGATCTGGTCCTTTTGAGTTCTTCGGTTTCACCACATCTGTGCACCAGAACCGGCCTCGGTTCTTGGTGGGGACAAACTATTGCTGCGAACCATTAGAGGGCCTGAATTTGCAAATGCATTTCGAGTGAGTGAGGAGAGGCTGAGCAAGATACTCAACTCATAAAGAGAGTCAATTAACTTGCCATCGGCCTCCATCGCACCACCTGACGAGACGGGATGAGACAATGGAAATGGAGATGGAGAAGTCTGAGATGGTACCATGTATGATCAGGAGATTTGGCAATGAAATGATCATGGGGTTTGATCAATAGGCAAGTTTCTAGTATTTGAGAAAAGGCTGGAGTCCATTTTCCAATTGTCTTTCTTTTGTCTCAACATTTTGATGATGTTTTCTTGATCCTTTGTCTCTGCTGAGGTTGCGATAAATAGCACTTCTCTATTTCTTTCAATGCATTACTAAATAGCCCTCTTCTTATGGATTACCTGAATTGGGTATTGCATTTGACAATCTAATGGTAGTGTTTTTAGGTCGAGTATTGCTACGTAGAACTACTAGTACTTAGCATTGCTTTAGGTGGATGATAATAGACTTTACTAATTTGTTTTTTATAGAGGGAGATTATTAAGTTTCTCATTTGAATGTTACTCATTAAACATATAACATGCTCGATTTACTTATACGCTAACGAAAATAATAACCAGTAGACCTAATACACAGTTTCTAATGGGACGAGATAAAAATAGGGAAAAGGAAAATATTTATTGGCACTAGAAGAAAATTTCAAAACATCCGAGAGCAGTTACTGAATATCAAAAGAGCACGTATGTAAAAGTAAGTTATATTTACGCTACATTTTTCTTTTATTGCACCAACGTCGTTTATTATTACTCTTATGTAGGGCTAAACGAAGAAACCGTCAAATCGTAAAATTGAATCGAACCTCTTTTTTTGAAATTGTTAGTTTGATTCTACATGGATCCGTCAACATTTTGGCTTTGAACCGAACAAAATCGATTCAAAGTGGTTTGGTTTAGGTTTCAACTTTTGCAAACCGTTTACCCCAAAAAATCTGAAAATAAATTAGTTTAAATTTTTATTTAACGTAATTAAAACTTAACACATTTTAGTTAAAAAGATACATCCATATTGGACATAATTCAATTAAACTCAATTCGACAATTATACATCTCAATTAGTTAATTAAATGATATCCAAATACTCATTAGTCATCACAATTGTGAATGTAAAACTTTCAAATTGGGTAAAGTATTGAACAAATGTTGCTAAACCATATTAATTGATTCTCTATTGCAATTGAGCAAACAATTAAATCTAAATTTTAATTCAAACTTACACAATTCATTTTCTTCTACTAATAATTTTCTCAAATTGTGCCTGATTTCAAGTTAGATTATCCAAATTCTTTTATTTTTTTGGTAATTTTTTTATGTTTTTATTGGCAGTTTTGTTGTTTTGTTCTAACAATTGTTGAGTTCCCTTGAACTAACTTGCTAATATTTGGATGGAGTAGAAGTATTGGATGATTCACAAAAAATCACAGTAGTTAAATATTATTGTCTTTGAATTTTTTTATTCATTTTCTTTTATTAGTTATTTTATATCGTTTAACTATAATCAATGAATTCATGTACCGTATTAATATTTATGAAAAGAACAAATCGTGTATTATTACAATTGCAAATGGACATCGTTAGTACCGAGTAAGAGTTTAAAATATTTATATCATGTTGTTGCATTATAATGATTTTAATTATTTAACTTTGATTTGTAATTTTTTTTTAGTAATACAATTTATGTTTTAACATAAAATTGTAGTCTAGTATTTATGATTTAACTTATTTGATATATATTAATTTTTTCATTGTTAAACCATGGTTTTAAACTGAACCAAATGGAAAAAATGGTTTCGATCAGTTTGGTTTAGAAATTGAAGTGGTTTGAAAAAATTCCAAATCGCTTTAAATGGATTGGTTTGAAAATTTGTCTCAAATCATTTAAATCGAACTGTGTTTACCCCCACTCTTATGTTTCATCCTTTTTCGTTGTCACGTTTTATGGTCAATGTTCTATTAATTAGTAAATCTGGAGCATGTCTGGTCTATGATCATCACTTATTATTTTAGTTATGTTCCAAACTTTTCCTTGTCGCATTTTTATGTTCAATCTTCTACCATTTAGGACATCAATATGTCTGGATGTCTAATAATTCTTTTTTCTAAATAATTTTCTGTATACTTTGAAATAATGGCAAATATTGTTTCATGCTTTTGTATTTATTATTGATTTGCTGATTTGAAAATATGAAGGACACATAAATTTGTAAACCATTTTGACAAAATTTTTGTATGGGTTAATGTGCTAATTAATAGAATATAAACAAAAAGGTAATAAAAAAAAATTGGGTACATAAGTTCGATAATTAGCAAAGATTAAGGATTTGTAGTGCAAATAAAAGTATTGAAATGGCAAAGTGGGCACATAATGAGAGCACCAACTCGAATCCTTGGCTGACCAAAAGACCTTCCCATTTTAAGCCGTCAGATTATTTATCCAACGGCTCATGAAAAACCCTAAAACGCCCACTGCACCTGAATTTCATATATAAAAGCTTTTCCATTTCATTTTCAGTCTCGCTCTTCACAGCAATCTAAACTCTTTCTCTCTCTGCAGTCGGCGGCGAGAGATCTGTCTACACTACCTTCAAAGGTACTCTCTCTCTCTCTCTCTATATATATATATATGAGTTAATTTGTGTTGTTTTGAATATATGTAATGGATTTGTTATATATCTGTGAAAGTGTGTGTGTTTGTGTATTGATCTGTATTGCTTTGAATATATATATAACAAATTTGTTCTGTTATATTAGTAAATTAATAAGTTAGTTGAATCGACGATCTACTATAACTTTTTGTGACTTGTGATGAACTAATTGATTTGTTAAATTCTTTCCTATTTTACGTGTTTGCAGTGTAAATGAAGGAATTTATGTTATATGGTATATACTTGTGTCTACGTAAGCACATAGAATTCTCTCTAATGATGCACCTACAAAGTGATGGTAAAGGATTTAGACCTTTAGATATCTTAGATCTGTGTATTTTCCATATTCTGGTTCATTAAATTTAGAATTATTTGAGCCTTAAATCCTTGTTATAGAGTCTTGGTCTATCTGTTATTATTTTTTATATATTGTATATTACTCGTTGATATTAATATCCGGTAGTAACTTTTGTTTGCTTTTCAGTATGCTGTATTTTTGTAATAAACATTAATTGGTCATTTTGACAAATTAACTGCTATAAATATTTTATTATTATTATTATTCAAAAACTGATTTAAGTTGGTTTGACTGACAGAATTTAGTGTGTTTTTGGATTCTTGGAATCATCTTTAGTTTCATTGTGGATAAAATTTTGATGCCTCTGCAAAATGACACCAACTTTTGTTTGTGGCAGTCTTCCTTCTAAGAGTTCAACATGGGAAAGGAAAAGGTTCACATTAACATCGTGGTTATTGGTCATGTCGACTCTGGAAAGTCCACCACCACTGGCCATTTGATCTACAAGCTTGGTGGTATTGACAAGCGTGTCATTGAAAGGTTTGAGAAGGAGGCTGCTGAGATGAACAAGAGGTCATTCAAGTATGCCTGGGTGCTTGACAAGCTCAAGGCTGAGCGTGAACGTGGTATCACCATTGATATTGCCTTGTGGAAATTTGAGACCACCAAGTATTACTGCACGGTTATTGATGCTCCAGGACATCGTGACTTTATCAAAAACATGATTACTGGTACTTCACAGGCTGACTGCGCCGTCCTTATCATTGACTCTACCACTGGTGGCTTCGAAGCTGGTATTTCCAAGGATGGTCAGACCCGTGAGCATGCTTTACTTGCCTTCACCCTTGGTGTCAAGCAAATGATTTGCTGCTGCAACAAGGTGAGTCCACTTCTATGGTTAAAATCATTGAGTAAGTATTGATTTTAGTTTATTGGTTGTCTCCGATCAATTTTATTCCTAACAATATCTAACACATTATTATCTGTATTGCGTAGATGGATGCCACCACACCTAAATACTCAAAGCCCAGGTATGATGAAATTGTGAAGGAAGTGTCATCCTACATCAAGAAGGTTGGATACAACCCTGACAAGATCCCATTTGTTCCCATCTCTGGTTTTGAGGGTGACAACATGATTGAGAGGTCTACCAACCTTGATTGGTACAAGGGCCCAACCCTCCTTGAAGCTCTTGACCAGATTCTGGAGCCAAAGAGGCCCTCAGACAAGCCCCTCCGTCTCCCACTTCAGGACGTCTACAAGATTGGTGGTATTGGAACTGTTCCTGTTGGCCGTGTGGAGACTGGTGTTCTCAAGCCTGGTATGGTTGTCACCTTTGGCCCATCTGGTTTGACAACTGAGGTCAAGTCCGTTGAGATGCACCATGAAGCCCTTCAGGAGGCTCTTCCTGGTGACAATGTTGGGTTCAACGTCAAGAATGTTGCCGTCAAGGATCTCAAGCGTGGTTACGTTGCTTCCAACTCCAAGGATGACCCTGCCAAGGGTGCTGCCAGCTTCACTTCCCAGGTCATCATCATGAACCACCCTGGTCAGATTGGAAATGGATATGCCCCAGTGCTCGACTGCCACACATCCCACATTGCTGTTAAGTTTGCCGAGCTCCAGACCAAGATTGACAGGCGTTCTGGTAAGGAGCTGGAGAAGGAGCCCAAGTTCTTGAAGAATGGTGATGCTGGTCTTGTTAAGATGATTCCCACCAAACCCATGGTTGTAGAGACTTTCTCCGAATACCCACCTCTTGGTCGTTTTGCTGTCAGAGATATGCGCCAGACAGTTGCTGTTGGTGTCATCAAGAATGTGGACAAGAAGGATCCAAGTGGTGCCAAGGTCACCAAAGCTGCGGCTAAGAAGGGTGCCAAGTGAAGAAAATTTCGGTCAGATGATATGCTTTTTATTAATCAAATTAGTTATTTTCAAGGCATCTTTTGCAGTTTTGATTATTATGGTTCAAACAGATGCTCTACTTGTTTTGCCATTTCTTGTTTTGGTTTTATTGCTTGAAGATGAGTTGTAGGCCAATGTTCGAACAGATATTTTATTCTGTTTTAATACAAGTCTTTTGTCCTTTTTCAATCTTTCGTGGCTTTCGAGTTTTTGCCAGATTGATTTCTTGTGGTTGTGCAATTTTCTTTTCGAAGGATGGCATATATAATTTGGGTTGAAATGTGCTCTATATATATATTTGGAAACTACTATTTCTAACAAATTGTATTTTTGACTAGTCGACGAAGAAGAAATAATGAGCTGCTTGGGCAACGTGCACGAGAGCTTTGAGAATTTGAACCAAAGTTGCATGGTTAAACTTCAAATGCACCAAATCCAATGATACTTGCGAAGATTGATAGTAGTTGCAATACAAATTCATTTAGCACCTTCGTATTTGCTTTACGGTAAATATATTCTTGAAATTTGACCATTGTCAATTTTTTTTACAATTATGGCATCACTAGTTTTAGAGTACTGTTTTTTGGAATCAAGCATCTATTTAGGTGGTAATTGTATGGCATTAAATGATATATTCATTTAAATGCAATGTTACACTATTCATTTAATTGAGTTTATCAAGTGTGATTCACCTAAATTGGTGTTTGATAGTATTTTTCCTAATTCTGGATTACAATAGCTTTGTGGAAGCCGTATTCATTTTAATGTCCACACCAAGGTGTCAAAGACCGCAACTTTACTTGGTTCTTTGACACAATCGTAGCCGTAGTTTGTCAAACTTCAACTGCACATTGTAAATATTAGTTCAAGTTTGAGTTGTAATTTTCTTTTCATTGTAATAATCATTTCAATTGTAAAATAGCTCTGATATTTATAAACGTTTAGTATGATTCATCATCATTTAAACATCTACTCATGTCATTTAGGTTTTTATTTTGAATGTTATTATAGGGGGTATTAGTCATTCAAAAATCTTTCAAACTTACTGGTGTCTGCCCTTTGCACAGCAATTGTAATTTTCTACTTTCCTTAATAGTAATGTTCAGCTTTCATCAATCAAAGTTCAATTTACTTTCAATGTATTCAAATTCTCCGTTGGAAGCTTTCTACAAAATTATAATCAAATTTTCTTTCATCCTGACTCGACCGAGAAAAGACGGAAGGTAGTCTAGCAAAGCAGACTACTGCTGTCGGTGTCTCTTTCTTTGCCAAGAAGCAAGGCACCCTGTGAAAGTTGGTATCAGAGCTGTGGCTCACAACCTCGATAAGAAAACTATGGATCCAATTACATTCCACGCCACTGAGGTAGGAGAGCTTCAAAAGAAGAGTACTACTGAACAGCGCGTGGATGCGCTTGATGAGACAACTACTAGATTGTGCTATGCCGTGGATGGTCTCGAGGAAAAAGTCGAGATGGAGAATCTGAGATTCGTGGATTACACATCCAACTGGATGAAAGCCAAAGGGCTTGCGCAGCAATGACTGAAACAGTTGCAATCATTTTTGATTTGTAAGATGAAATGGAAGTGTTGAGAACTCAATTACGAGTACTCCAACGTGTGGTGGGCAATGGGCAAGCTCCCGTACTTGAGTATGCTCCTAAACTCAGAATTCCTGAACCGTGTACCTACGAAGGGGCATGTGATGTAAAAGAAGTCGAAAACTTCTTGTTTGACATTGAACATTATTTTCTCGCAGCTTCAATTGAAGACGAAGCAAGAAAGGTAACAACAGTTACCATGTATTTAGGTGGAGATGCAAAACTATGGTGGCAAACCAAATATGCTGATATTCAGGCCAACATGGTCCAAATAGATTTTTGGGATCTCCTCAAGGAAGCGATCAGATCACAGTTTTTCCCGGAAAATGTTGAGTATCAGGCTCGACAGGCACTGCGAGACCTAAAACATACAAGCTCTATAAGGGAGTATGTGAAAGCCTTTTCAGGGCATATGCTTAATATTCGAGATATGTCCGAAAAGGATAAGCTCTTCACCTTTATGGAAGGGTTGAAACCGTGGACGAGCATGGAACTTCAGAGACAGAATGTTACAGATTTAAATGCGGTCATGGGAGCCGTCGAATGTTTGAGTGACTACCAAGCGGAATCTAGAAAAGATCGACCTTCGGGGAGTAATTAAGCAATTGGAGGTCGTAATAGACTTTACAGACCTAGCTTGAAACAAAATGGGAGAGAGCGTTACGCTCAGAATAAGGAAGGAGCCTATCAAAGTACCCGTGGCTTTCAGGGAAATGATCATAATAGCCGTCAAGAAAATTATAATGGCAGCAACAGTAACAACTGGAACAAAGGAAAAGCAACGGAGGGCCGAACTGATGCCGCTCCTAAATTGGTGTGCTTTTTATGCGGGGTCAAAGTATCCTCAGAATCGGATGGTGAATGCATATTGTCAAATAGCAAGTGGCGGGTCAAGTTCAAAGCAAGAGACCCCATAGGCTAGTTGTCATGATAAGACCGACTCCTAAGATGATGATGATGTAGTTGGGGCATTTTCACATCGGTGCAACACACCGTCGCATCGGGTTACTGAAAAGGATGATGTCCCCTTGAAAGAAGCAAAGATGGAAGAAGCGAATGCTCGTATTTGTAGGGCCAAAGGCTTAATGTACATTGATGTGAAGATCAATGGGAAGCCAATCAGGACTATGGTGGATACTGGTGCTACCCACAACTATCTTGCATGTACCGAAGTAAAGTGACTCGAACTTGTTCTGGAAAAGAGTAGTGGGAAAGTCAAAGCAATCAACTCCACTGCTCAACCAATAGCTGGAGTGGCAAAATCGGTGTTGATCAAAGCAGGCCCTTTCGAGGGAAGGACAAATTTATCTGCAATTCAGATGGATGACTTCCAAGCTTATTCTGGGATTGGAATTTCTTCGGGATACTAAGACAGCAGTATTGTCATATTTCGATATGTTGATAATGATGGGTAATAAGCCTTGTGTCATCTCTACACAAGCTGAGAAGATGAGCAAGAAGAGTATCTCAGCTATGCAATTTAGTAAGGGTTTCAAGAGAAATGAACATTTTTTTTTGTGCACTCTTCGATTAGAAGAGATCGAAGAGGCAACTGATCCTATTCCAAAACCAGTTAAAAGGCTTATTCGGGAATTTGAGGACATCATGTCGGACGAATTACCAAAGAAATTGCCACCAAGAAGGACGATTGATCATGAAATTGAACTTATTCGAGGTGTCAAACCTCCCGCCAGGGCACCATACCGTATGTCTCAGCCTAAGATTGAAGAGCTTAGGAAGCAATTGGAAGAAACGTTGGAGAGTGGAATTATTGTGCTTGCAAAGTCACCATACAGAGCTCCTGTGTTGTTTCAGAAAAAGGCCGATGGTTTTCTTAAAATGTGCTATGACTATCGAGCCTTAAACAAGATCACTGTACAAAATAGCTATTCTATCCCACTGGTTGCGGATTGCTTCGATCGACTAAGTCGAGCGAAGTACTACATAAAAATTGATTTTAGATTCCGATACTGGCAAGTTCGGATGAAGGAGGGAGATGAAGCAAAGACTACGGTGGTAACCAAATATGGAGACTTTGAATTTAAAGTGATGCCTTTTAGTTTAACAAATGCTCCAGCAACGTTTTGTACTATGATGAATCAAGTATTTAACGGGTTCTTAGATGATTTTGTCGTAGTGTACTTAGACGACATAATAATCTACAACAAGACATTGGAAGAACATGTGCAACATGTGAGGCAAGTTTTTAATCGACTACGGGAGAATTAACTCTATGCCAAATCGTCTAAATGCTCATTTGCTCTAACATCTATCAGTTTTTTATGTCACATTATTGATCAAGATAAAATTTACATGGATTCGAAGAAGGTTACAGTCATCAAAGATTGGCAACCACCAAAAATCGTACATGATGTACGTTAAGATTTGTGAAATGCTACTCAGAAATTGTACTGCCATTTACCGAATTGACAAAGAAGGATAAGGATTGTGATTGATCGTCCCAATGTCAAACTACTTTTGAAAGGTTGAAGAAGTCCATGTGGACGAACTTGATTTTAGCCTTATCGAGTATGACTAAATCATTCGAAATTCATACAGATGCTTCAGATTTTGCACTTGGTGGAGTCCTTATGCAAGAAGGACATCCGGTAGCATATGAAAGTCGAAAGTTAAACCAAACAGAACGTCATTACTCGGCGCATGAAAAGGAATTGTTGGCAGTAGCCCATTATCTTAGAGGATGACGTCACTATTTGCTTGGGTCTTCATTTATTGTGAAGATAGATAACACTGCGGTTAGTCATTTCATGTCTTAATCAAAACTATCGAGCAAGCATGCTCATTTGTAGGAATTTCTTTCAGAGTTCAATTTTATGCTAGAGTATCGTCCTAGATCTAGTAATCATGTTGCTGATGCTCTTAGTCGACGGGCTGATTTAGCTGCCGTTTGCTCCGTGGCTGTTCTTTCAGGGAGTCACGTCGCTACGAACACAAGAGACCAAATTCGGGCACTTATGGATAAGGACCGGCTACTCAATATTTGGTCGACCTCATCAAGCAGGGTAAGATTCGACAGTTCTGGCTCAATGGGAAACTAGTGAAGACTAAGGGAGACCGCTTATATATTCCTAAGGGCGGAGATTTGAGGAAATCATTAATTACGGAATGCCATGACACAATTTGGGCAGGATATCCGGAAGAGAAATGCACTTCTGCACTACTGCAATGTGCATACTAATTGTCTCAAACGGGACGACATTACAACTTATGTAAAAATCTGTTTTATTTGTCAGCAAGATAAGGCAGATCATCAGAAAAAGGCAGGCTTGTTGGAGCCCCTTTTCGTTCCAACTCGACCATTCGAAAGTGTATTGATGGACTACATTATTGGGTTGCCAAAAGTTGAGGATTTTGATACTATCATCGTCGTGGTGGACCGTCTATAAAAGTACGCAACTTTCATCTCAGCATCTAAGTATGTATCAGCGGAAGAGACAACTCAACTCTTCTTCAAACATATTGTCAAATACTGGGGACTTTCTAAGGACATCGTCAGTGATCGAGATCCTCATTTCACTGGCATATTTTGGACTGAGTTGTTCAAACTTCTTGGTTCAACTTTGAGCATGAGTTCTAGTTTTCACCTACAATCTGATGGACAGACGGAGCTCTTCAATTCTATACTAGAAGAATGTCTTCGACACTTTATCTCTACTTCGCAGAAAAATTAGAATGTTGCTCAAATTTGCTTCAATGCCCAAAAGAGCTCTTCCACCAATAAGAGTCCTTTTAAAATTGTTACTGGCCAGTAACCGCTACTCCCTCATACAGTGGACATCGAACAAAGTACCAAGTCTCCTCAAGTGGAAATTTTTTCTCAAGAGTGTAAACGAAATATTGAAATTGCTTGGAGTTATCTCGAAAAAGCTCAAAAACGGCATAAGAAGTTTGCAGATCTAAAGCGTCGTTTCCTTAAATTCAATGTTGGAGATCTGGTAATAGTTAAACTTCCCACCAGAAATGTTTGTAAACCGATAAGAAGGAAGGACTCAAGATTGGTGCCAAAATATATTGGACCATTACCCATCTTGAAGATAATTGGAAGAGTCGCTTACAGAGTTGAACTCCCTTCATGGTGTAAAATTCACAAAGTTCTTCATGTTAGTATGCTGAAGCCATACTTTGCAGATAAGGAGGACGCATCTAGAAATGAGCCAAAGCGACCTGTGTTTGAACTGAAGAAAGCTGGAAAGAAGGTTGCTGAAGCTATTCTTGACCATCGAATCACTCGAGCTTCTAGAAAAGATCATCAAGAGTACTTGGTCAAATGTATTGGATTCAGCAGCGAGGAGAATACTTGGAAAAGAGAAAAGGATCTTGGAGCCTTCAAACCGTTAATTGAAGCATATCATGACCGCAGCAACGAGGACGTCGCCAAAACAAATGGGGGAGAATGTCAATGACCGCAGCTTTACTTAGTCCTTTGATACAATCGTAACCTCAGTTTGCCCAATTTCGACCGCACATTGTAAATATTAGTTCAAGTTTGAGTTGTAATTTTCTTTTCATTATAATAATTATTTCAGTTGTAAAATAGCTCTGATATTTGTAAACGTTTGGTATGATTCCTTGTCATTTAAACGTCTACTCCTGTCACTTAGATTTTTGTTCCGAATGCTATTATATGGGATATTAGTCATTCAAAAATCTTTCAAGCTCACCGGTGTTCGTCTCCTACACCAATAATTGTAATTTTCTGCTTTCGTTAATTGTAATGTTCAGCTTTCATCAATCAAAGTTCAATTTACTTTCAATGTATTCAAATTCTCTATTATAAGCTTTCTACAAAATTGTAATCAAATTTTCTTTTGTTTCGACACGACCGAAAAAAGGCTAAAAGTAGTCTAGTGGAGCAGACTACTGCCTCGCGGTGTTCCTTTCTGTGCAAAGAAGAAATGCACCTTTTGAAACAAGGACACGTTTGTCAGAGTCAAAAGTTGTTTTTAAAATTAAGAAGATTTTGAATCCATTTGAATAATTTTTTTTAGAAACAATGCTTTATCTGGTTAGAAAATTTTTTAGAAGAAATTGAAATAAAGTAATTTCTTTAAAAAACTATTCTACAAGCAAAAAGAACAAAAAGCTTTGTCAAATGAGTCGCAATACTCCCAAAGTTTGGGAAATGAAACTCAAAATTTTCAGTGACTTCCGTGGGATTGGAATTTTACTGGCATTTTCTGCGCTTCTCTTTTACCCGTTACAGGCTTACAGCAGTCAGCAGAGAAGAAAAATATCATCAACGGTAGTCCCTACGTTACCATCCTTCTCTTTTAAATTAGACAAATGTTCTTTCCAATTAATTTTTTTGGGAAAGAACTGCACTTGCCCTCAACTCATTTTCGATTCCCAACATTTAAAAATGAGTTTATTCTTTAACCTATTAATTAGGACATTGAGGTGACTTTTACGTACTAATAAGTTATAACCATCCAACATGGCCATAAAAAAATGACAAAAAAATTAGTGATGCAATTTGAAAACTTAGTGTTAAACAATTTTTGAATTGGTCAAGTAAGTTTTTTCACTTGTGTCACTTCTTCCACAATATAGTGACCCGACCACTGCAACTAGAAGTTTTCAAGCATGAGATAACATTTTCTTTCTTATTTGATCCTTTGTTTCCCGAAAGAAACAAAACAAAATCACACTTAAACACGTACATAACTTCTTATTTCTAGAGTTCTACAAGATAAATAAACCCATGGTAAATGTGAAGGAGCAAATTCAATCTCTCAACATGAAACTTGAGTGATTCATCAAGGAATGTATCTTCAACAAGGTGAAATTAGCAATACAAAATGTCAATGTTTTCCTTTCTCCAAGATTCTTAACAAAACAATAATTAGCTGCGCAATTTTGATACACCAAATAACCCCTCGAAGGAAAATCATGTATGCATATGTAATGTAATAAGATTTCCAAGATAAATAACTTGCGAGCGTCCATCAAATGCAACCCTGCTTTTGACGTCAAGGCCAATATCTTTCGAGTAAGAAGTTCCAAACTGTACCAAAATACTGCAACCATATATCAGTGTATAATTAACTTGTCGATACATCGGAGTTTCATGACTTGCATATACATACATATCAAGAGTTTATATATTCAAAGAATAAATATGTATAGTTACCAGTTTTGCAAAGAAAATCCATGAGGACGGGAAATCAAACTAATATATGTCCCGCTTATTATGTGAGATAGGAAGAAGAATATTGAACTCACCTGATGATGTAATAGAAAATCAAACTGACCTGTTAAATTAGTTACAGCTCGCCATCATTCTCAAGTTGTGCTCTTGTAGCTGCCTTTTCTGCTTCTTCTAAAACGAATGCTTTTAGTGACTCAACATCCTTAGGTCCTATGATATTCAATTTCGGGAGAAGCAAGTTAGATCTGGTAAATGCATAATTTCTATAGCTTTACATTTATAGCTTAAAATATGAAAGCAATTTCAATTATTTGTTCTTCAAAGAAAGTTATTTTCAATTATGTCAGTTGACAACGGAGAATATACAATTTTTGGTTTCAGTAACCATATTAAAAAATAAAAAATAAAAAAAATAAGAACCCTTATATTAATGCAAATTTAATTAAGACTATGCAAGATCTTTGTCTGAATTAAGCAAAGTCACAGGTTAGCAATGAACTAAATATTGTATCAGAAAAGATTTCAACAAACCGACTTAAAATTTATTGGAGAGAGACTCAATTTTTTTGCTGCCTAAAAATAAGACTAATATAGATCTAAGTATCAAATCCTTAATCTTTGCTGAACACTTGTGACCTCCTTCAGATTGTATGCAACAGCAGAGAGAACACGGGGAACCAGATTAATGAAAGTGAAATGACATTAATCTTGAAAAAGGTACCTCATCAGCAATGAAAAAGTTCCAAGGCACTTTGGTGGAACAAGTCCAGGCTACACAACATAACCACCACCTCCTCCATTTAGACGAAAAGGTAGTCTAACCTGATTGGGACTCGCACCTTCAAGTTTAGGTGGTTAAAGTGGTTGCACCTTTTAGAATAACGTAACGACTAGTGCATTAGTACAGCACACACAAGTTATAAGCGTAGGAGCTCATTTTCGATATTAGTTACTTAATGCTCCTAGGGATGGCATATAATGAATTGCATGAGGAAGTATTTAGAGTATCCTTTGGCTTTGCAATTCAGAAATTGCATTCTTGAAGAACTTTGCAGGACAGTGGAATCAACTATTCGACTTTGCAAATATGTTGATGCAGAGATTATTGAGTCAGGTTGGTGATGTACACAACAAGGGCATAATTTGCTTGACGCTTTTTGACAGGTGTTTCCAGTATATTGTTTTTAAAAATCGATTTAAGATAGCAAGGAAGCAATAGAGGCAATTTGAAGGGGTGATCACACAAAAATGTCCAAACGTATTAACTTAGGTGGTGTTTCACCTGTAGGAAAATGGGAGATCGTGTTAATCAGTAACCTAACAGATCAAGTATTAGCACTGTGTCGGCCCAGTATATTGGGTTATGCTACAAGGGCCACAAGCAGCATCACAAAAGGTGGCTCCCATGTTACATGGGGTTCAGATAGCACAATTGTAGGGCTTTTGATGGAGTAGAGAATTCAATTAATAAAATAAAATAAAACTTTGCTTTCAATATTTTCTTTTGGAGTTCAAAGGCCATCCCAACTTTTATAGACATCTGAATGCATACATTTCTTGCTAAAGCCGAGTAAGGCTCTCTGTTTTTCTTTATTTTGTTTATCTATTGTATGCACCCTTCTGCTTCTTAATAAAAAAGTGTTTTGATTCATTAAAGCAGAATTAAGAGCTACAAAAGGAAGCAAGGTCAGAGGGAGAGATACATCAAGATTGCAAAACTGACACAAAAATATGACAAGATGGTTTATCATGCCATAACTAAGCTTTTCCAATGGTCAAATCTAAATATTTAAAGTCGAGAGAGAAGAGAAAACAATTAGTGAAGGGAGACTCAGAAATCGATGCATAGGAATGGCCACTAGCATATATCCAGTTCATTTTGAGAATTCAGTAAAACCTAAGAATTATTGAAACTTCTTAACTCAAATGTTACAGACACACTAAGGGAACTGAGGAAATTCAGGGCCATTTGGTGCTGAATCCTTTACTTCTCATTCTTACCTTTCCTTCAATAGTCTTAAGCACCAAGAAACAAAAATGGGAGTGGAAAGCTATGAATAGTATGCTCCTAAAACAGTTGGTAGAGACCTGTACAAGAGTCTTAAGGCTGATAGAAATAACGTACATAAAATAGCTATAGCAATAAAGTTAAGAAAGCTCGATCTTCAAATTTTCTCTTCAATAAAGTGACTAAAGCTAACCACTAAAAAAGGTGCAAGCCAGTTAAAAAATAATGAATAAATGATCCTCGTGGGAAAAACAAGCAAGTATGAACATGCCTATATCAGTTAAAAAATATTAAGTAAACAATCCTTGCGGAAAAACAAGCAATTATAAACCAACAGAAATCAGTAAAAAAATAGTAAGTGCATGATCCTTGTGTGCTAAAATCAGTTACCTTGGTATTTTGCAACTTCTTCTCCATTATAGAATAGTTTGAACGTAGGATATGAATGAATATCAACTTTTGTACACACTGGTTTATTAGTCGTGCAGTCAACTTCTCCAATCTCTATTTCATCCTCGCCTTCCATTATTGTACCTAAATCCTCCCATAATGTTCCCAAGTTCTTACTGAAAGAAATTTTCAACTATTATTATGCCAAGAATATCTTATATTGGATTTCAACAGATGCAGATGAGCATAAACATACTGAAGCTAAAAACAATTACCAATGCTTACACCAAGGGACACAAAACTTCACGAACCATGCTGTATCTTTCTCCTTCACCTAAATGAAACAATGCATAAATGAGATTCAAAAATAAACTATTAAAGTGTTGGGTTTGTGACCCAAATTATGGTGGATTTTTTTTAGAAATAAATTGTTTCCTTATTTTCATGTGGAAAAAATTATTTTCTTATATTTCACGTGATTTTTATGGAAATATATTATTTCCTTATTCCACATTATTTTCATATTTATGCTATGTCATGTACCTATAAATAGTGATATTCTCTTTCAATTTTGTTCAAGGCAAGAATTGTTGAGTTCTTGTATTTTTCTCCATATTGTCGATTAATAAAACGTCTAGCCTCTGCGATTAACCCTCTTTGTTAATTTCTTCACTTTTAAATCTTGTTTTTCGTCGCGATCTTCATTATTTCATATCGAGCCAAGAATCTCATTCATTACAATCTCTTCGGGTCCAATAAGTGGTATCAGAGCTTGTTCTTGTTTTGGATTGGTTGAGGTTTTTCTGAGATGGCCGCTTTGAAGTATGATATTCTGCAATTGGATGATTTTCTTTGTAGCAAGTAAAGATGAGAGTTATTTTAGCGCAGTTAGATTTGGACGATGTGGTGCTAGGTTTTGAGAAGATGCTAGCTAATTGGACAACGGAGGGATTGGAAGGCTTTATGGTTGATTCATCTTCATCTATTCAACAATATTCAGTGAGATGTCTTGAAGGAGAAAACAGCAGCTGCTTTGTGGTTGAATCCGAAACAATTATGTATAACTAAGAGTCTTATCAGTAAACTAGCTCTAAAACAGAAGCTGTATTCCCATCGTATAGTGGAAGGAGGGTCGTTAGAAGACCATATTGTTGTATTTAAAAAAATTGTCGCAGATTTGGAGACGTTGGAGGTTAAGTACGATAAAGAGAATCTTGCCTTGATCCTGTTTATGTTGTGCATGTGGCTCATATAGAGTGGGACACAGGTCCTAGATCAAATGGACTGATGCCGAATGCCAGATGGGTTGGGGGTGTGGGGGCAACGCCCCCGCGGTACGGTATAGGGGTATTTCTTGTACAGTCTTAAAGTCTTATATGGGCCCAAACTAGGGTTAGTATAAATAATATGTTGTAACCCTATTTTCAGTACTGAATAAAATTATCTCTACTTCACTCTCGTGGACGTAGACACACCGTCGAACCACGTAAAATTCTTGTGTTGATTTATTTTTTATCTCTTTATTATTGTGCATAAAATCCAACATGTTATGTTCACTACCTTGCTCTTATGCGTCGTTTCGGGACACCATTTTGTATAGTCGAGATACTTTGAATAGAGACGACATCTATGATGCTTCGCACTCCAAGGAGAAGTTGAAGCATTTAGTTGGAGCTACATCAAGGGATGAGGAAGCTCTTGTATCTCATCGTGGTCGACGGAGGAGAAGATCGAAGAATAACAGTAATTTGTTTTGCTTTTATTGAAGACGTAAAGAACATATTCGGGAGAATTGTGATAAGTTGTAGGCTAAAGGTGATTTAGCTGCAAATCATGGAGCGCAACCTTTGACTTTAAACAAAACAAATGTAGTTGACGATTTTTCAGATGGCGGAGATGTGATGTTGACCATGGTTTTTGACGTGGAGTCTAGGCCTGACGAGAAGTGGATTCTCGATTCAGCATGTTCACATCATATGTGTTCCAGCTGAAATTTCTTTCAGACATATAAGGTTATTCGGCAAGGTGGAGTTGTAATGGGAAACAACCAGTCTTCTCAAATTGCTGGGATCGATCGAGTTAGACTTAAACTGCGAGAAGGGACAGTCAGAACAATTAATCAGGTTCGACATGTTCTAGACCTAAAAAAGAATCTGATCTCACTTAATACTCTGAATGCAAAAGGGTATAAATTCTCTAGTGGAGGTGGAGTTTTAAATGTTCGAATGAGTGTCCGGGTTATATTGGAGGGATGGAAGAAGTCTTCGTTGTACGTCTTGCAGGGAAGCGCAGAACCAGTTAAAAGACATCGGGACAAGTTCAGTATCGTGGTGGATATTCAGTTTGGTAATAGTACCACTTGTGATAGGCTCTGTGTTGATTCAGAACATTGCTCAAGGGAGCATCTTTGCCACCAATTTCAACGGATATACTGTGTTCATTTGATAGGGTTGGACTCATGAAATGTAGATACCGTGGTATCAATAATGACTGGAATGCTTTTGGGAACGTTGAATGTGACAGTTCTAGCAATGGGCATTCTTATCCAGCATGTAGTATGGTTTCTGCTACAGGGTATGCTTCGACTCTGTTTGGTCAATAGTAATTCCTCGATGAAATTTTTGGAGCCTAGGATTTGGATTCAAGTGTCACTTATGGACGCCTTTCAAAGGACGACAGTTTGGTTTGGAGATTTTCGATTACTGTGTTGAGGATATTAGCTATTTCGATGCAGAAGGATTTGAAATCTTGAAATTTCGTTCGTTGCACCGAAATTTGGGTCAAGGGAAAGATTGTTGGGTTTGTGACCCAAATTAGGGTGGATTTTTTTGGAAATAAATTGTTTCCTTATTTTCATGTGGAAAAATTTGTTTCCTTATATTTCACGTGATTTTTAAGGAAATGCATTATTTCCTTATTCCACATTATTTACATCTTTATACTATGCCATGTACTTATAAATAGAGGTTTTCTCTTTCAATTTTGTTCAAGGCAAGAATTGTTGAATTCTTGTATTTCTCTTCATATTGTCGATTAATAAAACGTCGTGTCTCTACGATTAACACTTTTTGTTAATTTCTTCACTTTTAAATCTTGTTTCTCGTTGCGATCTTCACTACTTCATATAGCGTCATTAATCTCATTCATTAGAATCCCTTCGGGTCCAACATAAAGTGCATTACATTTATAGCAAGAATCTTTTCCTCTTTTCTTTTTTATATCTCCCTGAATGTTGCCTTTTTACATTTTATTATCATCACATACGATGAATATACTGAATACAAATTGAAATGATGGATATTTCCCATGATAGGAATTGCTACTTTAGCTGCCAGAATCGGGCTAAAATTACAAACTTCAAACGAGGACAAAAAGTTACCATTAATCCATCGATTCAATGCAAATATTTTTTGCTACCAAATTGATCCCTGAGATGCTCTGATTTCTTACTAAGCTCGTTTTTCCTTATTAAACATAATTAAAACTCTCAATTGCTGGCAGCAAGGTACAAACAAGTGAATTTCATGATAAGTTACTTAAGAATCAAGGTCAACAAAATACAAAGAACCACACCATGACTACATTAAAAATGCATAAAATCACATCTATTTACCCAAAGAATATCTTAAACGATGTAGATCCATGATCTATTACTATGATAACAATTTATGAAGCGAGTCTTTAATTTTTTACCTTGTCGTCGAAAGTATCGGCGGCTAGGGTTATCACCTCAGCCTTTGCTACATTATTATTCACCCAACTCGAGAGGAGAATGGATGACAAAAGGAAGAACAGAAGAATGTAGAAACGATGTCGCATCATGATTGGCCGGGAATTTCAATTCTCAGGCAGCTCCGCCGAAGATTGGCGTTAATTGGGAGCGAAACTCTGGTAAATTAGGTTGGACTTCGAAATAATTACTATACTGTGTTGAAATGAAGAAGTTTTATTTTAAAATTAATTATTAAAGTTCAGTTTCCTTTTTGATTAATAACGAGATGGAAATAATCGAGTTAATTGTTCCAATGGTTACTGAATTTAGGTCCATATCTTTGGTTGGCCACTGAACTTTAAATTGTCGAGTTATGGTAACTTAACTTAGGTCCATGTATTTGATTGGTCACTAAAGTTTAAAATGTCGAGTTGATCATTGAACTTTGAAAAATGCGAGTTTTGGTCACTGAATTTAGGTTCATATCTTCGATTGCTCACTGAAATTTAAAATGTCGAGTTTTGATCACTGAACTTTAAAAAATATTGCACATTGCTCACTAAACTTTGAAACATATTGTACAATTACTCACTGAATTTTGAAAAATGTTGTACATTATTTACGATAAACTCGATATTTTTCAAAATTCAACAGTTATGCTAGTGAGCAACGTACGGCATATTCCAAAGTTTAGTGATCAAAACTCGACATTTTAAATTTCAGTAAGCAATCTAAGATATGGATCTAAGTTCAGTGAGCAATCTAGGACATTGACCAAAGTTCAGTAACCAAAACTCGACATTTTAAATTTCAGTGACCAATCAAAGACATAAACCTAAGTTCAATACTAAAACTCGATATTTTTCAAAGTTCATTGATCAAAACTCGACATTTTAAACTTCAATTGCCAATCAAAGATATAGACCTAAGTTCAGTGACCATTGGAACAATTAATTCAAAATAATCGAAAATTCTGACAGTGCTCTTTTTGGATTGTAATTTTTATTGCAGAGACTTGATGGAGAGATGCACTCATCAAGACATAGCACCACAGGCTTGACGGTGCAAGCCTTACATAACAAGTATCTCAAAAATGGGGGATTCTTATTTGATGCACCAAAGATTAATTGAAAAAATCATGACTACATTTAACAATAAAATAATCGGAAAGGCTCACATACGACGAAAATTTTTTGTTGCTATGGGAAAAAGAAGAATTCACAATAAAGTGAGAGATGTAACTACCATGAAAGTACTTATTAGTAGATTGAATCAAAAAGTCTTGAGACCAATTGTCAAGAATAATGAATTATTATTTTTATTAATAGCATTTAACTGCCAAATATGGGTGTGAAAGTATGGTCAAAATTTTTGAAAATCCTTTTATGGACATGACGAGTTATTTTTATAAGAAGCAGGGAGTAATTTCATTTTATTTTTTTTCAATGTGGCCCACGTCTTCTGCTGGGATTGGGTGTTTGGTGGCACTGGCGGAGGCACATTAGGGCGAGGAGGGAGGCAGGGCCACCCAAAATTTTTATTAAAAAAAAAAAAAAAAAAAATCAAAATAGGAAAAGGAATCCTAAATGAAAGGGACAAGTTCACACTTTTCTTCTCCTCATAATTCCATTCCAGTTTGAAAAGCTTTAAACCTTACCCACCGGTCACCTCTCTTCTCTTCTTCTTAAGTCTCTTGCAAATCCAATTCCAATTGACGATCGACCATCGTTTACATGCGAGTTTGTTGCTATTTCTTTGGCATTTTCTAATTCTCCTCTTCTATTGGAAAGGTGATATCAACGAGTTAGTACATTAGGCTCTTGAATTGATTTTTAGGTGACCCTTTTTGCAAAATTTTCACAAAAAAAATAAAAATAAAAAAATAAAAAATATTCTCAGGTGAAAATTTAAGGTACCTTTCAAATTGTGATGCCTAATGTTCTAGGCAATAGGCATTGGATTTCTCAATTTACTCTTTGGATATTAGGGTTCTAAACAAATAATAAACAAAAACCAAGTTTCTAGAAGTTGAAGAAATGAATACACGGTGGGCTTTTCCTTATTAGTTGGAGTAGGGATTTGTGTTTTTGGCTTTAATTAGTGTGTAGAAAAAAAAAAGTGTATATGTGTGTGGCCTTGAACTTGAAAAAGAAATATGACAAAACGATAGGAAGATAATAATTATTGTGTTTATTATATCCTTGTTTGAGCCCTATTTGGGATGGGATGGGAGGGGAGGGGGATAGAATGAATTTTTGAATAGTATATTAATATGAAATGTGTGGTTAAAAAATAAGGAAAAATTTTAGATTTATGTGTAATATTATTTATTGAAAAATGTGTGGTTGAAATGATGTTAAAATACTGTTGAAAAATGTATTTTTACCAAATAATGAGGATCAAACAAGGGCTATATTTTCAATAATGTTATTAGTTGATTTAAATGAAACTTTGTTAAATTTATAATCTTTATTACAAATTTTTATTTACATGGTATTCGATTCAATGTCAACGGCCATGAAGAGATACTTTAAAAAGAAAGTTTCAATTTCTATTGAAGGTCAAAATATTGATGGAAAGAAATCTAGCAATGCCCGTGTGATTATTAAAGAAGAAAGGGATATTAAAGTTAAAAGTGATATTGGGAACGAAAGTAATAATCGAGGTGAAAGTATGGATGACAATCGGGCTCATCTGCTCGGGCCATCCGTGGTTCAACTCGAAAAAAGCTTGAGTCTACCCGGCTCGAGGCTCGGGCCGAGTCCCATTTTAGGATGTCGGGCAAAGCTCGAGCCGGCCTATGTGGCTTACCGGCTCGAGCTCAGCACGCTACCTCAATTTGGCAGCAATTAAGGCAACATGTTGTTGCCAGCAGCCTGCTGCCCTCTTTATTAATTCAGGAAAAAACAATCGCAACCAAAATCTACTCGGCCCAAAAAGGCTAGAGTCGAGCCTAATTTTTTTGGCCGAGGTTTTGCTCGGGCCCGGAAAAAAGCTTGATCATTTTACTCGAGCTAAGCTCGGCCCGGAAAAAAGCTTGATCATTTTACTCGAGTCGAGCTCGAGCCATAAATTTCAGCTTATTGATATCCCTAGGTGAAAGTGATGTTGGCCATGAAAATGATATTATTGAGGATGAAAGTGAAGTTGTCCAAGATAAAAATGATGGCGTTCCGGATGAAATAAATGTTCATGGTAAACTATGGAAAATCTTCATTGAGGCGTTTTCAATTTTCTTGGTTTTACGAATTTCCTTCTTGGTTGGAGTATAGAATAGCGAAAGATGCTGCATTTTACCTTTACTATTATTTTTTTAAATCAGGTGTGAAACGAGGAGGTGGTGACACTTTTGTTGTGTGAGGGTTCTCAAATTGGAAAAGTAAAGAAAAAACTTCAAGAGCACGTTGGAAATCACAATAGTGCATACAATAAAGCTCGGATTAAGTGTGAAGCTTTTATAAATCAAGAAAAAATATTCAGGCGATTTTCTTAAAACAATCACAAAAATCATAACATGGCTATCGAATTCGCTTGGGTGCATTAGTTGATTGTCTTCGGTGTCTTATAAGACAAGGACTTGCATTTCGCGAACACGATAAATCTGAAGATTCAAATTTTCAAGGAAATTTTCTTAAATTATTACATGTTTTGGTTGATCATAATGAGGAGATTAAACCTGTTACTTTCAAAAATGCTCCTGATAATCTCAAATTAACATCACCCAATATTCAAAAAGATATTGTAAGTGTTGTTGCTTTTGAAACAATCGGTGTTATTATCAACGAAATTGGTAATGGTTTATTTTCTATTCTGGTTGATGAATCGCATGACATCTCAGTTAAGGAACACATGTCTATTGTTTTTCGTTATGTGAACAAGAATGGATGTGTAGTTGAACATTTTGTGGGTATAGATCATGTTTCGAATAACACAGCTCTCTTCCTTAAAGCAGCTATTGATCGCTTATTCTCTAGATATAAATTAAGTAAATCTCGCTTAAGAGGTTGCGGTTATGATGGAGCTAGTGATATGCAAGGTGAATTTAATGGTCTCAAAGCACTTATTCTAAAAAGCATGTAGAGATTGAAGCCTTTTTTTTTTTATTTGGTTGATAGAGTGGTGAATGTTGTCGGAGGATCAGTTAAACGATGTGGTCTTCTTCAGCAAAGACTTCGAATTGTTGAGGCGCTCAATCACGATAAATTATCAAGTGGCTGGGGCCTTAATCAACAAACTACCTTAAAGCGTTCTGGTTATACATGTTGGAGCTCTCATTAGAATTCTTTGATTAACTTGATTCAAATGTTTTCATCTACAATTGATGTACTTGAAACAATTGTTGAGGATGTTCCAAGTTCTGGAAAAAGAGGCGAAGCACTTAATTTATTGGCTTTGATAGTAAGATTTGATTTTGTATTTAGTCTACATCTCATGAAAGGGACATTAGGAATTTCAAATGAACTGTCAAGGGCATTACAAAAGAAAGATCAAGATATTGTCAATGCCATGAGATTAGTAAAAATTTGTGAAGAACAACTTCAAGCAATGAGAGACAATGGATGAGACTCCTTTCTTGAAATTGTTTGTTCTTTCTGTCAAAAGTAGCATATTGATGTTTCCAACGTGGATGCTATGTATATACCTCCAACTCATTCACGACGTAACACTCCAGAAATGACGAATTTACATCACTTACGTGTGAATTACTTTTATGTCGTCATTGATATGCAGATTCAAGAGTTAAATAATCATTTTTCCAAGGGAAACAGTGAATTGTGCCTTTGCATAACATGTTTGTGTCCAAATGATTCATTTTCTGCTTTTGACGAGAGCAAATTAATTCGAGTTGTTGAGTATTATCTTGAAGATTTTCACTAACTGATCTTTCTACACTTGATGATCAACTTGAAACTTATATATTTGCTATGCGCACGGATGAAAACTTTAGAGGATTTCAAGGTCTTAGTGATCTTACAAAGAAGTTAGTTGTGATGAAGAAATATGAAATGTATCCACTACTACATAGGCTTGTGACACTGGCATTGATTTTTCCCGTTGCTACTGTTAATGTTGAGAGGGTTTTTCTGCAATAAATATTGTCAAGACTCAATTGCGCAATCGAATTGGAGATCAATGGTTGATTCATAGTTTAGCTGTATATATTGAGAAGGATATATTTAATGAAATTGATAATGATGTAATTATACAACGTTTTCAAAATATGGAAACGAGTCTAGAATAAATATAGTGATGTAGTGTTACAATTTTATGTTATTTGTATTTATTTTTGCCATATAATTTTTGCCCACCCAGTTAAAATATCCTGGCTTCGCCGCTGTTTGGTGCTATTTTTTGCCAGAGCTCCTATTATTTCTTGAAGTGTCGGATAGTTGAAATCCATGGATGACCAACTGATCATCCATTATGTTCAAAACTTGCATCATTTGATGTTTGGAGTAATGATTCAATCTTGTAGTGGATATTGTAAAGCATTGCTATAAAACTTAGGACACATTGTGTTAGTATTGTATGGATAGTGGAAATTATGCATTTATAATAAGTTGTGATGATTATAACTTATACATATCTGTTATGCTAATTTTTTATTTACTTTTTTTTTTTTAAATGTTAATTACAAATTGCGATATAATGATTTACTTGTTATTTTTCTGTAATTCAAATTACAAATTGCTTAACTTTCATATTACATCCGTCTTGTTTGTGCGTACAAGTCACATAACAAACTGTTTAATAATCATATTACATCCATAAATTTTTATTTTTTATTTTTTAATTTGTTAGTTATAAATTTACATGCTATGTAATTTTTTATTTTCGTACAATTATAGACCCCGTTTATGTGTTTTGAAGATTGTAACCTCACTAGAATCAAATACGGTGACAATTGGGGTAACCAAAAAAAAAAAAAAAAACGGGGATACATGTAAACGAATTAGTAAATGAAATCAATGTTTCAATACAAAATAATGTTAAGCCCCCATTTGGTTAAGCTAAAAAATTGAATTAAAATTCAAGTCAAAATCAACATTTACATGATGTATTTCGTAGGATCCACACATTCCACCACCCTTTAACAAAATTTACTAAAAATTCGATTTTTATCTAAATCCAACGGGAGCTAAAAGTAATTCTTGCTTCCTTTTGAACTTGATTAAATGTGGATAGATACAACTCATAGGAGCTCTTATTGCTCTTATTCAATCATCATTTTAGTCAGTAGTAACAACTTATTTCTAGTTCCATGGTATTTTGATATTTCATGAATTAAGTAAATGAAGTGCATATTGAAGAAGCTTATGAACACAAATTTAACATATCATAGTTTCAGTTAAAAAAGGGGGAAAAAAGAATAATTAATAACTCAGGTTCAAAGTTTTTACCAGACTACATTCAACAGAAAAACCCAATAACCTACTCAGTTTCGCTATACCGTTGGAGCTCTAATATTTCAAAACAAAATATACTAGTCATGTTTCCTTGTGTTGTTCCATTTTTCTTCATTTAATTCTTCAAACACAGGACAGTACGCATGGTCACGGATAATGGTAATAAGAACATAAGTATTAACAGCCAAGAACAGTAAACTTGCCATCCATAGCTGAATGAAAACATTCTTGCCCCGAAATTCCAGCAAATAACCCCACATTAACCAATGAGTTTGAGCTCCCATCCACAAAAAGATGCAGGCTATGCCTTTCTACGTTAGCTTCATATTGCTCCATGGTAGTATTAGAGGCAATAGGCAGAAGAACCAAACAAAGTACTGTGCAGTTATAACCTGTAACAAGATTAAGCAGAATGATGAAATGCATGTTACTTGTATAGTGTAAAAATAAGATAAGGTTATATGTTTTTATATACCTTGTTAAATGCTACAAATGTTAGCGTTTGCACAAAGAAACAGAATGGCAAGTCATATGCAAAGCGGAAGATGAGAGCTAGCTGCACGATGAACTGAGGCAGAAAGGAGATGAGTTTTTCCAGGCTCGAGAACTCTTGTTCGTAGTGTAGATATATGTGGTAAAAGTATATTGAAAAGTTGTGTCTTGGGTCCGTACGAGTGAGATGGTATAGCAGCGCCTCGTCCAAGAAATCCCATCCATAAAAGTAGAAACACAATCCAGTTAAGATGAAGAAGATAGATCCAGAAACAAACCCAAACACAAGTCCCCTCCAAGTAAAAATGCTTGTCAAAAAGTTCCTAATAAATTGTAAAACAGTAAATCTCAACTTGCTTGAGCCATTAAGTGACATTAATTTTCTAGAGCTCCAGTCCACAAGGGCAGGCTTTTTACCAGACTGGAAGTGGAGAGGATGAAGAACTAAGGTTATGGGCAGTGCATAAATTATAGGATATATTCTCAAATGAACAAGTCCATACCAAAATGCAGCTTGCACCAGCTGGTCTGCATCCAAGATAATGGCAGACAAATTAAAATGGCAATTTTCTTTAACTGAGTTCACATAGAAATGCCAAAAAGAAAACAAAAAATGAATTGGAAACTAAATTTTTTGCCTCGAAGTGAAGGTGCATGCCCAAGCCAATAAAATTCAGACTGATAGTTTTACATCAGTGAAATCCCAAGCCATAAAATGCAGATCCTTCTCTCTAATCTCTCACATTATCTGACTTCCAAGTTATATGGCATATGAAATTTGAAGTTTTATACGCTACTATAGAGTTCATGCACTTTTATCCTTTTTTTTCCCCGTATATTTGTTATTGCGTTTTCATATTTAGCTTCATAATTCCATGCATGGAGATTGAAGTATACTGTGCAATAACATGGGTGAAGCCAGTTGCATGTGCTCCAATGACATTTTTAACATGTCAGAGAAAAGTAAAAATGCAGAATAATAGTTCGAATGCAGAACATGGTTTGAATGTAATTACAGTTAAGTATTAATGGTGTAGGACAAGATGCATAAAAAATAATTCCTACAATAGCAGCGGAAAATTGAAATTCAGGGTTGGCTTGTTGGAATTTCAACAACTGCAAAGTTCACAAAACAGCGCATTTATGGGGTTCACCTACATGTATCGCACAATATTCAGACCAAATTCATGTTATTTGTTCCATGCCTTTTTCTCTTTTAGAGGTTCTTATGCATTCAATGCACGATCTTTTTTTGGTTTCAGTAATTTCGTGAAACTGCCAATTCAACCGTTAATGGTACCTCCAAATTTCTGCAGATATTCTGCCTCTTCACAACAGTACCAGCTCCTATCAAATAATTTTTCCGTCTGGCACTGATAAATTTACTTGACATGCATGCTATTGAAGCAGATGTCTAGATCAACAGGCGAGCAATTACAGGAGAGATTTTACTAACAAGTAAATCAAAATCTATAGAAATTGTACCATTCATCAGACACAAAATGATCCACAGGATCACGGCACACACAATGGGCTCACAATTCCCACGGGTTCCAATGGTGAAGGTGAAAGGATTAAAAAGCCATACCATCAAAGAGGAGGTGCATAGTTTCTCAGGCACCCCTCGTAGCTTCAAAATGGTGTGTATAAGCAATCCTACAAGTAGATCTGTCACGTGAATTCAGTGTAAAACTATTATTATTTGATCGCCAACATGTATAGTGCAGTTCAATGCAGTTTAACAGAATTTTAAAGACAAGTATAAAATTTATATGTAATATAATATACACATATATAAATACTTGTAAAAACAAAAAGATCCCCTAAAGTGAGAAAGAGAAGTCCTAAAATAGCCCAAAGAAGAAATTCCTCGGACTATTTTATTTCTTTGAACAGGGTAGCTACCTAAACAATAGAAAAGTGTAGAGCTAATGTCCTAAAGCTAACTTCGCGTTATTCTCTTTCTGTTCCTTTACATGAAAACCAAGAAAGATATATTCTATATCAGTTTGATCTAGTTCAAACTTTGAAGCACAGACTAAAGGCCAAAAACCAACAGTACTCGGAGCAAATATTAGTGTTACTACAAGCTAAAGTAATACCGAGAGTCCAAACACTACTCACAATAAAAGCTGTACTTCTATTATTCGAGAACAGGTGCAACTGCATCACTTTTAGTCACCAACACTTCCCTTAGCTCCAAAAGAGGATAAAAACTAATATACACAATATAGGACTCAACCAATATTAACTCCAGAGTTGACCATTTCCTATGACTGATCAAGATATGATGAGCACATGAAACTGAAGAATTCAAGGTTAACAATTGAGTACAAAGTAAGCTATCCTTCTCCTTTCGACTAATGTTTTGAGTTCATTAAAGCTCAAAAAATAATTTATATATACCCAGTTCTAATCAGTGAATTAGTTGAAAATAACCTAGCTCTTTCGCCACTTCAAAATTTCTGCGCTTTGTTAATTAAGCAACATGGTATACCTGAGGCCGAGAAGAGAAATTTTCCCCACATGTGATGAAGAAATGAATTTGGCAAGAGAAGAGCAGCAATCAGTGGTGAATACCGATATGTTGATCTTTCATAAGGTGATTTTCCAGATGCCATTAAGGCCGCAGCATCAGAAAAGACAAGATAGTCCACATCCGTGTACCTGACCTCCATATGAGTGTCTTGCCACTCCCCATACAATATTAAGAAGACTCCAAGAATTGCTGAGATTATAAAAAGAAATCGAAAATTTATTTTGTCCATTGCCAATATTTTGAAACTCTTAACATACACCTTGCGTCACAGACAATGAAGTTGCTGTTCTAAATGATGAATAGCACAAGTGCCAGTCCAGCAGCAGAATAAAATTAACATAATCCATATGCCATGCTGATCGGATAAATACAGCTGCAAAAGAAGAAAGTCAAAATCGCCTAATAAGTATGTAGAGCCAGGATGAAAAGAAATGGCAGATAAACTATAGCAAAATGCGGTACATCTCTAACAGCACTTCTCTTCAACTTCTTTACATGATCTAGGCTAATTAATTTTTACCATAATTAAACAATCAAGCCACAGTAAGAAATGAGTTTCACCAAATGAGAAAGGCCTTATTGGCAATTTCATGCACAGAAAACAACTCAAGAGAATTGATAGCCAAGTAAACATCCAATAAATGCATCTCAGATAAACAAATTGTCCAATTCAACAAGCAACACCAAGCTAGCGTGTGCATCGGTTTACCCAATCCACTTTGTTATGATTTTTTTGTCTTCTGATTCATATTTTTAAACGCCCAAACAATGGCCAACGTAGTTGTAAAATAATCAATATTTGGTTTGCATTTGATTCAGCTTCTTGACCTTTTTCATCCCATCCATGGCTAATATAATCAAAGACACTGCCACCAAAACCACCTCCCTTGTAGCCACTACACCATCTCAACTTCAAAATGTCCAACAATGCCAACTTACAACCAATTCGGCAGAGCCATATACGACCACAAAGATTAAATTTTAGTTCATCCCAGCTGGAAGAAAAAATTAGGATCTTTGGTTCATATCTAGTATAAAAATGGAAAAAAGCAGCAATTTTTTGGCTTACATGATTTGCTTTTTTGGCTTCTGAGACCCATCAATGTTTTGACGGAGTGAGATAATCTTGGATTCACAATTCGCCCATCTAAATTTTTCAGCAAAATCGTGTGAACATCTCAAACACCAAAACTTTACAGAGAGAAAAGAAAGGGTTATTGAGATTCTAAAGGTGCACAAGAAGTTGCCAAAAAGGAATAATGTCG